CAGGGGCGATGGAAGGAAGCTGAAGAGCTGAATATACAAGTCTTGGATACTCGCAAGATAACACAAGGCCTAGAACACCCTGAGACACTCACCAGAATGAGTAATCTTGCAGGCATATACAGGAGCCAGGGGCGATGGAAGGAAACTGAAGAGCTACTAATACAAGTCTTGGATACTCGCAAGACAACACTAGGCCTAGAACACCCTGAGACACTCACTAGCATGGCCAATCTTGCAAGCATATACTCGAGCCAGGGGCAACTGAAGAAAGCTGAAGAGCTGGAGAGCTGGGGATACAAGTTTTGGATACTCACAAGACAGTGCTTGGGCTGGAAAATCCTTCTACTTTGCTCAGCATGTGGTATTTGGCTCATACTTTGAACGCTCGAGATCGTGATACCGAGGCCATAGCTTCGCTCGAAACTTGTGTTCCGCTACAACCGAAGTGCCTGGGACCAACCCAACCTGACACCATTCAATCCCTTTCGGATCTTGAGTCCTGGAGGAAGTCCCCCCTCGAAGAGTCTGGCGTTCCCATGATAGAACTAGAGACACAGAAAGGGTTGATAAAAGCTGTAGCTAGCCATGAGAACGCCATGGTAAGCGACCAGCTGCCCCGAATTACCATCGGTTGCAATCGTGTGATGCAGAATGGTTCACTCCATCTCTCTCCACCTCTACTCTCTGCTTTGCGAATCTCTTCTCAGTCGGATGAAATCTCCCACGGAGACCGAAATGGAGACCGCGACGACATTGATTAGAAGGAGGCATGTGAACCAATCAGTGTCATGATATTTCCCGACAAAGAGCCGGACGGAACAGGGTGTGGAAACTTTCTCGGATTGTCCGGCAGGTGAAAGCATGGCTGAAAGCACGTATGGTCTTTGGCGCAGCTCGGCTGCAGGCCTGCTAGGTGACGGCTATAGGGCGTCACAGCAAGGACATCAAGGTGATCAGTGGTATCTCAGCATATGAACGGACCCAGAGAATAGAGAGACGGATGAGCAGGCTGCGCAAGCGGCCGTATTGGGGAATGGAAGGCCCCCTTGTTCGAATAGATCCGGCGACAATCACAGTCCGAGCGGTGGAGGAGGACTGAACGAGACACTTGGACAGCCCCAGAGACAGCTATGGCTTGGAGTCGTGGCTCACAGGCCAGAGAGATACCAGCACTTGGTCATTTTCACAGAGGGTTGTGGTGGACGCGGTGATAGGGATCGGTCAAACACGTCAACGGATTGGGAAAACGCAGTATCTTTCTCATGGCTTCATATAATGTCAGCTTTTATTCTTTCTTCAATGCTTTGTTGTTCGCTTATTTGTATAACTGCAAACCATATACCATATCTTGTAGCTTTCCTCGTATCATCAATGTTGACCGTTCTCAAGGTTCATCGCTTCGTTTTTAGGGTATGCTACCGCTACCATGTATGACTGACATGTATGATCATGTCTAGAAGGACTGGATATGGGCTAAAGAGCCATGTTTGTTGCCATCGAGTATCCAAAGAAGTTTCCAGGGTAACCAGTCTATATATACACTGTTCAAAGGGCAGTGTCGAATATGACCCAAGGCTCTTTGCGGCTTGAGATAACAGATAAAACTGAAAGAGGGATATAGATAGACATGCCAGCTGCTGATGTAGCTAGGACGTGACTCGAACTGTGAGAAGACTTACAGACTGTGAATGTGCTAGTTGAATTCACTGCACCAGATGAAATGGGATCTTGTAGTTCCTGATAGGCAAACCAATTGTCAGTGGCAAGGGGCCGATGAACGCGTGTATGAACATAGTCCAGAAGAATTCCCACCCCGACAAGACAGTCCAGGATGCAGATATACGCGAAGATGCGACTGATGAGATGCTTCCGTAGCGTGCTATTTCTAATAATTATGTAAATGCGAATAATAGGATGCAGTGATTAACCGGTGGCGTATTCACCTAAACCCCAACCCCCCTCTTCCCCGTCACTCAAACGCCAGACCCCATGCTCCCGAAATCTACGAATCGACAAAGAACCAGGAACCTTAACAGAAAGGGAGGAAGAAAGAAAAGTCGGATCAGGTAAAATCGAGATCATCGTCCGGTTGTCCGACATACTGAAATTTGGCTAGGACGTCGTTCGCCTGCGAATGGACCAGCCCTAGTGCCTCTTGATGTAACGCGGCGCCTGCGTCTGCGTCGGACGTGTCATGCACCAGCATGTAGTCGTGGGCCGCGTGATGCCGCACGTCGTCGTCGAAGTGGGATCCGGACAAGCCGTGTGCCCCGTGCGCGTAGGGGTCGGTCATCACGTCGTGGGTCGGGAAGCGGGGTAACGGTTGGTGGATGTCCATGATCTGCGGGTCCAGCGGCAGGGTGGTGTAGTCGCCCATCGACTCGACGGACCCCGGTATCACCGCGGTGTGTGTCGACATGAACGGATGCTGGTTGGCGGGCGCGTCGAGGGCCGTCGGGTCCAGGGGAGGGGGGTGGGAGCTCAGGGTATCGGCCGTGGACGGGGCCTGATGGTGATGGTGGGGGGCGCCGTCGACGGCCGGGTCGGGCTTGGCCTCGGCCGCCGTCGTGTCCATAGGGTCGTCGCCCCGCAGGAACGGACCGGTCAGCGGCAGCTTCAGGGTTTCCTTGCACTGCGGACAGTCCCGGATGACGCGGCTGACGGTCTCCTTGATGCGCACCCAGTGATACTGGACGGCGATAGCGGCGGTGGTCTTGTTGATGCCCGCATGTTGCTGGTCGTGCATCTCCTGGGCAATGGTGTACTGCTGCTGGGGATCCGAGACGACCTCCTTGTCCTTGAGCATCAACTTCTCCGAGTCCCCGTCGCCTTCGATCAGCTTATAGTGCGTGGCGGCACTCCGAAGGCGGCTCTTCTCCGCGCGGTCCGCCCCGCGCGGGTACTTGGAGTGTTTCAGATAATATCGGATCTTGTCGAATCGGTCCTGGGTGAAGGAGTCCTCCCCCTCCGGGCCGAGATCGCGTCCGTAGATGATGGCGTCGACGTACTGCCCCGGATTGGAGAGCAGCCGACCGCCCCCGGGGACCTTGCCGATGCGCTTGAAGCCCAGGGCATCCCAGATGCGACACGAGGCTACGTTGCTCTCGTACACCAGATTGAAGACGGCATAGGTGTAGCCCTAGTGACCGTCAGCGACGTACTCCGCCGGCAGAGGCCGGGGGGACTCACCAGCTTGGGGGCCCACTCGAGATAACCCTCGCCCATCAGCCGCCCGACACCCCGATTCCGCGCGGCGTCGGTGACGAGGAACATGCCGTTGCAGACGTGATTGCTGCGGCCGGGGTAGTTGGGGCGGACGTTGAAGCTGCCGAGGCACAGCTTGGACCAGTTGGCGCCGGCGCGGTCCATGGCCTGCATCTCCTGGAGGCTCTTGATGTCGCCCAAGATCATGATGGCGCCGAAGCTGGAGAACCAGTAGGCGTCGAACTGGGAGAAGGGGATGGGGTCGATCATGGCGTAGGTGTCGCCCTTCTCGATCTCCTTGTTCAGCTGGTCGGACAGGTAGAGGAGCAAGGCGCGGGGGACCTCATCCTCGGGCGACAGGGGGATGAGGGTGGCGACGGTGACGCGATCGCGCAGGGTGACCTGGCGTGGATAGACGTCGAGGGGGAGCTCGTGCTCCGAGGGGAACACGGACGCACTCAAGTCCGCATGAACCGCCGGCATGCTGATGCCCGAGGCCGACCCGACCCGGTCCCGTGACTGGCCGTCTGATTAGCGGTGCACGTGATCCAGGACATTGCTTCGAGGGAGCGATCGATGCGATGTGGTGTTGCCTTGGTGTTGCATTCGGGCGACATGCCCTTGGTCTGGGGAGACCCTCTACCATGACGACATAACGAGATGACAACATGAGGCCTGGGATGGGAGTATGTATGGCGATGCAGGGTGGGGATTCTGGGGGACGAGCGGGAGGGGAAAGGGAGGGGAGCTGGGGAGCAACGAGAGGGGAAACGCACTGACAGCGAGGGGATCTTCTGGCAATCAACGTCCGGTCCCTCGGTCGATCCAGATGGTCGTTGGGTGCAATTCTAGAACTGAAAGCCAAGCAGTAGGGAGTCCTCCGGAGTACTTCACGGACTGCTGAGTATTCTCAAGTCTGGAATGGAGTGAACGCAGTCGAGAAATCCTCATCCCGGGTGCCGGGAGGAGGGTTGTTCCGGCCGGTCTCAGGCATCTGTTTGTTGGATTTGGTCAGTTTGTTGGGTTGTCTGGTTTGTGTGGATTGCCTGGTTTGCCCTGTTTGTCACCACAGGATCATCATCAGCATCATCCCCAAATGAGAAGACTGATCATTAGTACTCCCCACACCAGTGCCATCCCCTCACCATGTCGGGACCCCTACCCATCCAGGCCCTGCGTGGGTGCGTCCGATGTCCGGCCCGACGGTCAACTCCATCATCACGACGCCTGTTCAGCCAGACCGGACGGTCCGCCAGCGCGGTCGCAGGCGCCGCGGAGGCCGAGGTGCAGGCCGCCCAGAAGTACTGCGCCGATCTTGTGCTGTGAGTCGAGGAGATGGGGGAAGCCAGAACAAGAGGAGAGCTGAGAATTGCGGAGCTGACACGACCCGCGCCGGGCTTGCAGAAAGTATGATCGTCCCGCCTACACCCTCAGCACCTTCGTCCCCCGCCCCGTCCAGCCCTTCTACCTCGCCCTCCGGGCATTGAACGTCTCGCTCTCCATGATCCCCGACACCACCTCCTCGCACACGATCGGGTTGATGCGACTCCAGTTCTGGCGCGACGCCGTGACGAAAGCGCTCGCTGGGGCCCCGCCCAAGGAGCCCGTCGCCGTCCTCCTCGCCGCCGCCATCGCCGACCGCCACGAGCAGACCCAGGGCCGCGCCCGCATCAGCAAACGCTGGCTCACCCGCATGATCGACGCGCGCGAGCAGACCCTCACCAACGACCCCTATCCCGACCTCGCCGCCCTCGAGACCTACGCCGAGAACACCTACTCCACCCTCATGTACCTGACGCTGTCCGCCCTGCCCATGACCTCCGTCACCGCCGACCACGTCGCCTCCCACATCGGCAAGGCCACGGGCATCGTCGCCATTCTCAAGGGCCTCCCGCTCGTTGCCTTCCCGCCCCCGGCCCCGCGGAGTCCCCAGGGCGGCGGCGCAGGGGGCGGCACGAAGCAGGGGGCCGTCATGCTCCCGCTAGACATCATGGCCGAGACGGGCGTGCAGGAGGAGGCCGTCTTCCGACAGGGCGCCGAGGCCCCCGGCCTACGGGATGCCGTCTTCACCGTCGCCACCCGGGCCAGCGACCACCTCATCACCGTGGACCAGATGCTGGCCAACCTGCGCGCCGGCCAGGACGTGGGTCACGCATTCGAGCACGAGGGCGAGGAAGGCCACGACCATTCGATTTCTTCCTCTGGCGATGCTGCGGACTCCGCCCCGTTGCAGGAGGTGAACCGCGCGTTCGGCGTCTACATGCCCGCGGTGGCCACGCGGCTGTGGCTCGACCGGCTCCAGCAGGTGGATTTCGACATCTTCCAACCGGACCTCCTCCGGTCCGACTGGCGGTTGCCCTGGAAGGCCTACTGGGCCTTTCAGCGACGGAAGTTGTGAGGGGTGTTGGAACTTTGTATAATACCACGAGCTGTAATACTACATCTAATCAACTATCCAGTCCTTCGTCGGAATCTGTCCTACCATTCCCTACGTAGTCAGAGGTCGCAGAAAGTGACCGAACTATCCGCACCGCATTTGGACGATCCACCCACAACAAAATTGGAGACGTTGACATAATCACGCTCAATAATATTTGGCCACGGGGATGCAGTAGATACACTTGCAGATTATTCCTTATTACCGTCTTTGTCCGAATCAAAAACCAAAGGGTGTTGGCAAATTAAGATGTAAGACCGAAATGGGCGAGCCCAGAACCGAACAAAGTGCCACAAGCAGGTTTAAAAAGAACAAGTAAGAAAGGGAAAGAGATGGAAAGGGGAAAAAAAACACAAAAAGGAAGAACGAAAGCTTCTCTCAAACCAGTTGCCCTCCCAAAGTCTCCATGAACAATGCGTTCCAACTACCTAGCAGTAAACAAGACCAACGCACGCGGCGACTCTGTCAACGGCCACAACCCCTTGTAAAACCCCACGATCCCCGCCACAAGAAGCACATAATAGGCAATAGTCCAACCGACCCGTAACCGGCCAGCCTCCTTCGGAGAACCCGACTCCTCCCCGTCCTTATCTTTACACAGGCGCGGCGAATTTGACGGCACGCCCGAGCCACCCACCTGGCCCCACAACCGGGGGAGCCCACACCAGTTGCAGAAGCTGTGGACGACGATGACGGCCAGAAGCGATCCGGTCCGCAAATACAGGAAGGTGGCGTACCAGCCGAAGACGGTCGTGTATCCGAACTGGACGGCGGAGCGGAGCAGGGCGGCGAACGCGGAGGTGTCGGGGTGGGTGAGGCGGAACTCGTAGAAATGGTGTACGTGGGCAATGCCGAAATACAGTGGTGTGATTATGATAATGTGGCTGGGTGGGACTCTGGCTAACAGGTGTAGTGGGATGATGGATGATCGGAAGAGGACCTCTTCGGTAATGGGGCCCTGTTGTCCTGTTAGATGTGCGTCTGGCTACCGACGTGAATGTTGTGTCTCTGCAGGTGGTCTCTGCAGATGGATCGCGGATTGACTCACGGCGACGAAGTTGCGCCATCCCATCCACCCGCGCAGCGACTCGGACAACCCCCGTCCTCGGACCCAGTCCCGCCATTGGCCGCATATGACGCCTCGCTCAAAGAGCGGACCCACGAACAGGATGGCGGTCAGGGTGAGACTGCGCACGATCTCCTGAGCGCCCACGGGCCACCATCCCAGTAGCCGGAGGGTCTCGTTGGACGGGAAATGCCCCTTCGCCGTGAACAGCCACAGGACGGCGGCCGTGCTGAGCAGGCAAGACCCCGTCACCGCGCGGATGCGAGCCCTTATGACCGAAGGGGCATCCCGACTGAGGGTTTGCGACGGCCGCGTGGCGGAGAAGAGGTAGAATGGGACGACATAGAGAAAGGTCAAGGCCAGCTGCGATCGTCTGTGTCAATGCCTGCCCGAAACCCTTCTTCTCTGAGGAAGAATGCCTACCGAATACAGCGCGGCTTGCTGCGCTGAAATGACAGGCTCATCTAGAATGCGAACGGGTCAGAGAATCACCCTGCTCTCGGCCTCTTAGGTCCTGCGCGACGTACCCTGTGGCTTAGTGTAGAGGCTCTTGAGGCGAGTGATAATCCCGACCGGCGCCATCGTCATCTACGTCGGAGTCGATCTCCGTCGTTTGGGTCTATCCCTCGTTTGGAACGATCGACGATCTCGGGTTGCGGAACGGGCGATCGCGGGGAGTCCCTTGGAATCAGGATCAAGCGGGTGGAGATCCGTCTTAGCTTGATGATGGATGCATCTAGAGAAACTCTCGTCGACTTCAAGGCCGATGAGATGATTGACCGCAGACAAACAAAGAATCCCAACAAGGCTGCGGTGCTGCCTGAGGCGACAGACACCTCAACTGCCTGTTTGACTGGTTTGTCTGCCGGCAGGGATTACCTTTCCCCGGATTCACGTGGGTTTGTTCCATTTGCTGGGTTTGTTCGGGCCGTGCCGTTTGTTGCCTTGATTCTTGGTGGACGACAAAGAGAATGAGGTAAGGGTGGGTCAAACAACAATGCCATTGTTCGGTGGGACCAGACAATGGAGTGCGGGCTGTGGAGAAGGGATCCCAGAGGATGCCACTAGGGCCCAGAACTATATAATGGACACCGTGCCCAGCGGGAGCTCCCTCATCGCACAATAGCCAATCTAAAGTAAACCCCACAGAAACCATAAAGGAAGACGGAGGCAGGCAAAGGATAACCATAACCGGCACGATGGACGAACGTGACATCGAACAGAGGGCCAAGGAGGCAGAAGCACGCGAGTGCGCAGAGCGAGGCGCTCGCGTGCATGCGTTTCTCGAAGCCCAGTCGTCCATGATGCGCATGATGGACGAGCTCGAGGCGAAAGTGAAGCAGAACGCGACCTTCTGCGCCCTGGTGAACGGAGCACTGTGTCTACATGAGGAGGAGGACGTCGACGCCGAAGCGCATGCGCGCCGGGCCTTGGAGATCGCCGAAGCGATGCAGAGGAGATCGTGGATCGTCCTATGCCGCTACTGGCTGGGGCGGATCGAGTACCAGCGGGGCAACACTGCCGACGCGTACGAGCATTTCGTCTACGTGAGCCACTATATCAAGGATTCCCCTGAGGCGGAAGATCTGCCGTTTTATCTGGACCATTCGGACCCTTTGGGACTCGAGACGGAGTCGCAAGCGTTGCCGTGGCCACCGCAGCAGGGGGATGGTCCGGCTCTCTGCAAGAAATGCCAGCAACCCATGGGCGAAGGGGACAGTCCGAATGATAGCCAGAAATTACTCGAAGGCCATGGTGGTCCTCGGCCCGCGAAACGAACGCTGGGACTCTCCCCGGAGGATCAGAACACCGTGCTCATCTCCCAGCCCCGGCGCGGTGGGACATCGCCCGCTCGAGCCAAGCCCTGGATCGTCCAAGATCGCGAGGACCTGCACCTGCACCCCGGCGATGAAGAGCCGGTAGTCATCCGTAGACCCGGCCGGAAACATCGGCCCGACTTGGAACTCAACTGGACCATGGGGTCCACGCCCTCTCCACACCGATTGGAACAGGGGCCTTTTACCTTCCGGATGTACCCCCAAGGCGTCGCGGCGCGGACCCGCCCGACGAAGGTCTTCAAAGAGCACCCGAGTGAGGTCCTCATGCCGGCCACGGAGTGGGAGACAATCTGCAAGGACGCAAAGGATAAATGGGTCACGATGAGTCTTTTGGCTCACGAGAGAGACCATATCCAGCAGAAGATCTTGGAGAAGAAAGCCACGTAGGGGACTGTTCTGCGTAGCTGTAGCTCTTCTGTCCCTCCGCCTTTTTTCTTCTCATTGTCCCTTTTGTTCCTTGTTTCTTTTCTTTTTCTACTTTGCTCCTACCTTGTCTGCTCGTATTTTCTCGTATTTTGGTGTAGTGGCTGTCAATATTTGCTGGTCTAGTTTGGTGCCGATTGTCCGAATGGCGCTCATAGTCCGCGAACCGCCCTCACCCTTACTATTAGACAGTATCACTGGCCGTTGAAGTCGACAACCAGGACATCCCTTAGTATATCCAGTAGCGTTAATTTGAATAGAGACTATAATGCACGCATGGAAACTTGTTTCTTTGGTGAACCTGCACTGTTTCTTCCTGCCTGTCCAATAGAGAATGTGACAACCTCTTCCGCGTGAATAATGGACTGTATATTTCCGACCTACTGCCTGTATGCATTGGACTTGGATGGCTGTTCTTACAGAAGAAAAATAGGCGAGCGGCAGCAGTCACATATCCCGTCATCCCGGTGAACGGTCATCAGTTCGTAGCAGACGGTTACACAAGAATTCGTAGAATGGATACATCCCAAGCCCATGCGGCTATCCCCATAGCCCCCACGCTCATCGTCAATGCCATCAACACGTTGACGGCGTTGTTATCGAGCAGATCTGCCCCGCTCTCAACTCGTCGGCTTTCCTGAGCGGATGTATCTGGCGCCGAGGCTTTCGAGCTGGCTTTTCCGGATGCCGTCTTGCTAAGACGGCTGCTGGATGCGGCGGCGGTCAGGCCAGCCCCACTGACCTGTCCACTGGGTGTGGAATGAGGATGGACGAGGACCTGAGGTGTGTGTCAAGTCAGCGCATGTCACATTTCACAGGGAAAAGATATGGGATACACGGGCAGACACAAGGGACATGGGACATACCTTCTCACCGCCTGTACCCTCGACGATCTTTCCGGTTCGCTTATCCACCACACTCGCCTGTAGCATCCCACCGAGGAGACTGTCAAGCACGCTTCCTAGCCCTCCCCAGGCCGTCATGGCCAGCACCCACTGCCCTCGTTCCACCAGATTGTAGCTGCCACTGCCGCCCGGGAGCAGCAGCGCCGATGCCACCGCAACGATGGACGCCCCCATCACCCCCGCCAGGAGTCCGGTGCCCGTAACGCCCCCGTTCGTTCCCGGTGGGACGCTACGAAGGGTTGGTGAGGTGATCAAGCGTGGATTCGACTTGGAGAGGATGCCGAGTTCGGAGGAGAAGGTATCGGCGGCAACGGCGGCATAGTTTCTACGGGGGGGTACTTGTTAGAACAACGACTGGCACGATATTTGGCCGAGAACGGCGTCGAAGGGACCTACGCGACAATCCCCACGACCAACAGATCCTCCGGTGTCCGAGGGCCCTCCGCGAAGAACCCCCGGCCGGGCTGTCCGCTGGCAGCGAGCACCCACCGATGCATCAAGATCAGGCCCGTCGCGACGATGGAGTTCGCTAGCACTTGGATGTGCGTCCGCGCGTCCTCGCCCCCGTGCGAGCCTGACGCGGAGAGTGTCAACCGGGCTTTGACTTCATGTTTGATCTGTCCTCCGACTCCATGATCAGCTAGTGTTCTTTGCCAGCGAGTCTCCCGCCTTTCCCCCGACGGGACCCTCCTGCTTCCCACGCTGTCTCACCTTGGTCACCTTCGTCCCACCCAGGTAGAAGACCACCAGTAGTGCAAAGGGAGCCGACCACGGATGCAGGGCGTGTGCGACGGCCGTGAGAGCGGCGGCCACTAGTCCCGGTGTGGTGAGGGACTGGCGGGACCATGCGCGGTACACAAGGCCCAGAATCGCGGGGACGGTAATGACGGGCTTCATGATCGCAATTCCGACAGATTCGCAGTGGGGAGTTTCCACGGTACGGTAGCTGTCGATCGAGGGACGGAGAGGAGCTTCCCTTCCATGACGGATGCTGATCCGCCGCTCAGCTCCAGCCGCCCTAGTCCATAGCGGGACTAGTGGAGAACCCCAGGAAACAAACCGAACAAACCGACCTGCTACACTTCTCTCCTTCTGTCGTGAGTCTCGGACTCGATCGTCATCACTCCCTGAGTCGGGACCAGTACATGCAGAGTGCATCGCTGCGATGGTCTAGACACAGAGACTCGCGATGAGAAGGAGAGGCTACACAGTCCACACGCTGCCCGTATCCCACACGCCCATGGTCAACCCTCGTCGCGGATTTCTCGCGCACAGGACATCGTCTACCGTCGACAACATCGGCATGCGGTAGGAATTCGCGAGGGAGAGAGAGGAGACAGACGAAGGGCGGAAAAGGACGGGATGAAGGGGAGAAGCAAAGCCCAGCCGTCTGTGAAGCCATCCGGGTGCTGTCCTCGCGGACGGACGTGGCAACGAGGTTCCATAGACCGCGATAAGGGATGCTGTAGGGCCGACCCCATACCTACCCAGGCGATCTGGTGTGCCCTGTAGAGATCTAGGATCCCATGCCCATTGCGTAGTCGGTGCTGGCGAGCCTCGTCGGAAGAGTAAATGGAACACGTGACCCCGCGTCGGTCGCGTCACGTCACGTTCCGCCGGCTAGGCAGAGACCGCTGCCTAGACGTCACACTGGGAAGACGCATGGCATTGACCTGCCATCGGCATCTCCCACACACGACCTCATGAACCGCTGACCCATCCCCGAGAGGCTTTGCTCCGTTCCTGTCAACACAAAATGGCTGACGAGTACCGCGACGACGACCAGCTGGAGGACGAGGAGGAGATCGATGAGACGGTACGGAACAACCCCCCTCACCGACGGAGAAGAACAGGACGCTCAGACGAGGGGAGATGCTGTAGGGCTATAAAACCGTCAAGGACGCCATCCTCTTCGCCATCGAGATCAACGAGTCGATGTTGACCCCCGGTCCGTCCGCCGATCCGAAAACGAAGGGCGAGGAGTCGCCCGCCTCGGCCGCGCTGAAATGCGCCTACCACCTGATGCAGCAACGCATCATCTCCAACCCGCACGATATGATGGGGGTCCTCTTGTACGGGACGCAGGCGTCCAAGTTCTACGACGAGGAGGAGACTAGCCGGGGCGATCTCTCCTATCCCCACTGCTACCTCTTCACCGATTTGGATGTGCCCTCGGCGCACGAAGTCAAGGAGCTGCGGGGGTTGGCAGACGACGAAGGAGAGGCGAGGGACGTGCTCAATCCATCCGCAGAGCCGGTGTCGATGGCCAACGTGTTGTTCTGTGCGAATCAGATCTTCACGTCCAAGGCCCCCAACTTTCTCTCCCGGCGACTGTTCATCGTGACGGACAATGACAACCCCCACGGAGAGAACAAGGCCCTCCGCTCCGCGGCCGCCGTGCGGGCCCGGGATCTCTACGACCTGGGAGTATCTATCGAGCTCTTTCCGATCTCGCACCCGGACCATGAGTTTGACCACGCGCGGTTCTATGACGTAAGAAGTCTCGAGCGCCCTCCCCGTGAGTATGGCACTGACGCGCCACGCAGGATATCATCTACAGAGCCTCGCCGACGGACCCCGATGCTCCCTCGTACCAGCTCGCCGATTCCAAGGCGTCAACCGCGACGGGCGATGGGATCGCGCTGCTCAAGACCCTCTTATCGAGCATTCACTCACGATCGGTCGCCCGCCGGGCGTACTTCTCTAACATGCCCTTGGAGCTGGGCCCCGACTTCCGGATCTCCGTGTCGGGATACCATCTCTTTCGCCGCCAGCAGCCGGCGCGCAGCGGGTACGTCTGGCTGGAGGGCGAGCACCCGCAGATGGCCCAAGGCGAGACCACCGCGATCGCTGACGATACGGCGCGGACGGTCGAGAAGGGGGAGATTAAGAAGGCCTACAAGTTCGGGGGAGACCAGGTCATCTTCACGCCGGAGGAGCTGAAATCGCTGCGGGATTTCGGCGATCCAGTCATCCGCATCATTGGCTTCAAGCCCCTCTCCGCCCTTCCATTCTGGGCCAACGTCAAACACCCGTTCTTCATCTACCCGTCCGAGGGCGACTATGTCGGATCCACGCGCGTCTTCGCGGCCCTGCACCGGAAACTACTTCGGGATCGGAAGGCTGCCCTAGTCTGGTTCATCCCCCGCAAGGCGTCCGGTCCCGTTCTGGGCGCCCTGATGGCAGGGCCCGAAAAGATAGACGAGTACGGTGTGCAGAAGCTTCCCCCGGGGATGTGGATCATCCCCTTGCCCTTCGCAGACGACGTGCGCCAGAACCCCGAGACCCGCCTCACGGTGGCGCCGGAGCCCTTGATTGACAAGATGCGCTATGTGGTGCAGCAGCTGCAGCTCCCTAAGGGCATCTATGACCCCTCCCGATACCCCAACCCCTGTAAGCCCCCCCTCTCCGCACGACAGAAGCCCTCCGCCGAGACTAACTGGACTCAGCGCTTCAATGGCACTACCGCATCCTGCAGGCTCTCGCACTCGACGAGGACCTGCCCGAGAAACCCGAGGACAAAACGATCCCGAAATACCGGCAGATCGATAAGGTAAGTCACCACCGCGAACCATTCTTGATTCCCCTGACATAGACTCATCGATGGCCAGCGCGCCGGCTTCTACGTCCTGTCCTGGGCGGAGGAGTTAGAGAAACAATACGCCGCGGCTGGTGGGACGGCCGCTCAGACCACGCTGGTCAAACGGAGTGCCAAAGACCGCGATGCCGAGACCGGAGATTCAGCCAGTCAGCCGGCGAAGAAGCCCAAGGTCGAGGATGGTTCCTCCGGCATCGAGGCCGAGACCCGCATGCACTACGAGAAGAATACGTTATCGAAGGTGAGCATTTCCCATGTCACCCCTCCTTCGCGACCATTTGGGATCGCTAACCATGCTGCCATCGTATCCAGCTTACGGTCCCCATCCTCAAAGATTTCCTGCACTCCCACGGCCGTTCGACAGCCGGCAAGAAGGCTGATCTGGTGGAACGTGTGGAGGAATACTACGAGCGGAAATGATCAACGGCCTTCACCTTATGATTGCTACATACCATCCTCAATGACATCCTATTCCGTTGGTTTCGCTTCCTGTTTCCCATCCCATCGTAGTGTCCTCCCTTCCCATCCCATCGTAGTGTCCTCCCAACCATCTGCCCTTGGTAATTGTTGTAGACTACCGGTCGACAATGGCCTCGCACCGAACTGCAGTCCTCCTTAGTTTCCCCGTCGATGCATCTTTCCACCGTGAGTGTCGAGATATACCGTCCTAGTCGGAATATCTCCGAATTTGCGCCGGAGAGAAAAAGGCGCGGAAGAACAATCCCGCGTCGGCCGATGGCGGTGTTTGTCATGTTTGTTTGCGCCCCCCCGACAGATTTGGAGAAGCTTCCGAGACGAGTCATCGCTGCCTTCTTCCCCCTCTTCCGTCTCTCTCTTCAACCTGGGCTGTGGATTTTTCTCTCTGATTGTACTTGCGCTCTCAGGTCCATCACCATGTCTTTCGTTCGTTTCGCTGCCCGGCGCATGCGCGTGCCGAAGAATCTCGGCGCGTGCGAATCACCGCTCCGACGCTCGTTCACGGCGACAGCGTCGCAGATGACCAAGGTAGGTACTCATGACGGCCGACGGTCGCCAGGAGACACTGGCTAGAAGCTAACAGCACCGCCAGAAAGATACGACCGTGCCGAACCCGGATCCGACCCCCGATTCCACGACGGCGGCATTCGTCAAAGAGCGTGCGCCGTACATGGTCCCCACCTACGTTCGCCCGGCGCCGATGATGATGAAGGGACAGGGATGCTACCTGTGGGACATGGAGAACCGTCGCTATTTGGACATGACGGCGGGCATTGCGGTCAACTCGCTGGGTCATTGTGATCCGGAGATCGCCCAGATTGTTGGGGAACAGGTGCAGTGGCCGATTTCTTGGACCCGATCGATGCAGGAAAAAACACCCATCTAACCGTTGGTGGACTGGCTAGGCCGAGACCCTGATCCACGCCTCCAACCTTTACCACAACGTCTGGACCGGCGCCCTCAGTGAGAAGCTCATCCAGACCACCCGGGAGTCCGGCGCCATGCGGGATGCCGCCCAGGTCTTCATCTCGAACTCCGGCACCGAGGCCAACGAGGCCGCCATCAAGTTCGCCCGCAAGGTCGGCCGCTCCCAGGATCCCTCGGGCGCGAAGCACGAGATCGTCTCCTTCCACAACTCCTTCCACGGCCGGACGATGGGCGCGCTCTCCGCCACGCCGAACCCCAAATACCAAACCCCCTTCGCCCCCATGCTGCCCGGGTTCCGGTACGGCAACTACAATGACGTCGAGCAACTGTCGACCCTGGTCACCGAGAACACGTGTGGTGTCATTGTCGAGCCGATTCAGGGCGAGGGCGGCGTGAACATGGCCACCCCCGAGTTTCTCCAGGCCCTGCGCCAGCGCTGTGACGCGGTGGGCGCCGTCCTGATCTTCGACGAGATCCAGTGCGGCCTGTCGCGGACCGGCAGCTTCTGGGCGCACGGCCACCCTGCGCTGGCGCCGGCTTCCGGGCCGGCCGCGCACCCGGACATCCTGACGTCGGCCAAGGCGCTGGGCAACGGAATCCCCATCGGCGCCACCATCATCTCAGGCAAGACCGTGGCGGAGCATATCAAGCCCGGCGACCACGGGACCACCTTTGGCGGGAACCCGCTCGCCTGCCGCGTGGCGCACCACATCATCGAGCGTCTGGCCGCCCCGGAGCTGCAGCAGGCCGTGGCGACGAGCTCCGAGACCCTCGTGGCGGGCCTTGACGCCCTTCGCCAGAAGTTCCCGCAGGTTATCTCCGAGATTCGCGGCCGCGGACTGATCCTGGGTGCCCAGCTGTCCCCCGAGTTCAGCGGCGCCGTGCCGGACCTGATCACCGCCGCGCGGGAGCGCGGACTGCTGATCATCAGCGCCGGCGACGGCTGCATCCGCTTCGTGCCCCCCTTGAACATCACCGAGACGGAGATCCGCACCGCCCTCTCGACCCTGGAGCAGGCGTTGGCGGTGGTTGTGGAGCGGGCCTGAGCGACGCGTTAGAGAGGGATCGACCTCACTTTTGTTTGATTTGATTGCGTGATGGTAGACTATTGGATTGTGATTAGACTTTTTTTTTGGTACATAGATTTCGGGATCTTTGAAATATTACTGGATTGCATTATTCCCGTCACATTGGTCGTTCTCCCAATGTTCTCATATCGAGTCACCTGATATGACTTTTCCATCTTCTATGATGACCATCATGTTGCTCTCTCCCCTGCTCTTAAAGCTATCTCTGGCTGCCCTGTGACAAATACTCCCCTCTTCACAATGTGTTCCTAGATAGTTACTGGAACACGGGTTAGTCACAGCCATCGGCTCAGGAACAGAACAAGTACTTGATCATACAAGTCTGTGAGCATGAAGTCGCTGTATGGACTATCTATTAGCATGGGGCTCTAGACTTTATACCTAATATGTGCGGAAAGACCCAACAAGATCAGTCCTCAAAACAACGAAAATGAACCTTCAAGCTATGAAGGATGTTGCGAATGGTTACAAATGTCACAATAAAAATGGTCAATTGTGTGGGAAAAGGACTGCAGGTCAGCTGACAGTTAAGCTGATTGCCAGTCACTGCTTCTTTCGTATGGACTGCTAAAATTATCTTCCAAACATCATTTGTGATAATCTTAATATGTTTCGATTATATTTAAAACTTTATCTCTGGTAACACCGTAATAGGCGCTGCAGCGGGGACCCAGGGGTGGCTGACACGAGGGCGAGAATGAGACAAGACGGGCGAAGCCGTGGGAGCTGCTGCGCTTTCTTGGGGCTGCAGGGGTTGACATGGCGGTTGAAGCCATCCAAAAATGAAGTTGGATCAGAGTGATTATGTGATGTTGCAAAGAATACCACTCAACTACAAAGAGGTCTAGACACTTTTGCGCTCTGTGGGTACCCTTTCATAAAACATCTTTATTGCGACATTTGACATGCCTGTACAGTATTTCTCGGGCTGCGGGAACTCTGCGTGTCTCCGCGCTCCGCTCCGCTTCCCTCAACCAGCATAGAGGCCACTTTAGTATGGGCAAGCCAGTAACTACTGCTGGGAATATCAGTAAATTCAAGCCCTATACCAAACGTTGGTCAAATTTGTGGCGTAGAGGTCATGAACTACTACAATGGCTATTCCCTTTGTTGATCTTCTACATCTTATTGGTGATGTTCACCACCAAGGTTAGCCACTGGTATGTACAGCTAAGATACTCTTCAAAGCTTCACTCCTGATATCTTTACAGAGTAACTGCCAGCATGTACTTTTGATGTTTGTTTAAAATGACATTTGCTATCGACCTCTCCCCGGAATTTCATTTCTGTGATGCCATGCCCATCTGAAAACTACAATGATATTTGGAATTGCCTTCCGTCTTGGTCTGATGCTATTCGATCGCTATTCGTTCCATACACAATTCGAACAGTCTTCCCTGTTACAACCATCTTTGCCATAGAAGCGTCCCACTCAGGCCCTCCTTTCCAGAAAAAGTCATTTACATTTTTATTTAGAGAGATCCCCTTCGATCATGTGACCATACAGAAATCCACCACCGGTTCTCCCACGAATCTATGGCCTGACTCCGCCGAGTCAAAGAGCAAAGGGTTTATTTAATCAAACCAAAAATCAAGAAGTATAGTGCTGTCTGAAGAACGTATCAAACTTTGATGCATACATGTTTAATCCAGCCATAGGACAAGGATCATAAGGTTCAGCATGAATCATCGTCTCTGGAAGAACCTCCCGAATGCCCGTCATTTGCCGCCTGTGATAGGTGCAGGGTCTGCTTTTATTTTATTGGGAGGCTAAATGTGGATGGGCGAGACAGTGGTGGCTTCGGGCTGCGTTGACTTCGTTGATGGGGAATTTACTTCTCTTTCCCAGTCGCGAAGCGTGTTAGAGGAGGATATGGTATGTGGGTGGCCTGGACCCAACAGATTGCGGCGGAGCTTGACACATTCTTCCATTAGGGTGAAGGCATTTTGGACCTTTCCTAATAGTTTCCATGTGTGAGCCAGATTATTCATGCTGGTCAGGGTGGCTGGATGCTCTGGCCCTAGCACTTGCTTGCGGAGCTGTAACACCTGTATCTCTAACTCTTCTGCTTTCGTCCATTGTCCCTGGTGCTGGTATGTTGATGCCAGATTACTCATGCTGGCCAGGGTGTGTGGATGCTCTGGCCCTAGCACTTGCTTGCGGAGCTGTAACACCTGTATCTCTAACTCTTCTGCTTTCTTCCATTGTCCCTGGTGCTGGTATATTATTGCCAGATTACTCATGCTGGTCAGGGTCTCTGGGTGCTCTGGCCCTAGCACTTGCTTCCGGAGCTGTAATACCTGTAATTTTAAATCTTCTGCTTCCTTCCATCGGCCGTCACTATCCAGACAACTCCCAATGTTCGCAATCAAATTAATGTATTTTCTCTGCTCCATTTGGAACTCCGCTTCTGTTATTATTGAAAACGCATGTGGTAGATATTCCCGCCACACCTTCCGATTGGAATGGTCATTGTTCGGGAACACTTCGCTAAATTGGTCTGCTGTTTTCGAAATTTGTAGACTAAACTTTCGGTTCTTTCTCATCCAGTTCCGAGTTGCAAGATGGACGAGTCGGTGTAGATTTAAAGCATGGTTCTCGTTCTCGGTCACAAAAGAGAAGGCTTTGAGGAGGCCAATGGCATCTACTCTCCGTTTGGTTGAGATCGGTTGGGGAAGCAAGGACTGTGGAATATCACGAGGGTTGATAGAGGCCATGAATGACAGATAGTCTGCCGCGAGTTCATTTAACCGCTGGATTTGCTGAAAAGAGATGGACCAGGTAAGAGCAACAGGATTTTGAATATCTTTGTATCTCCTTTCATCCTCGAAGTCTTCACTCAGTAATTCAATCACATGGGGTTCCTGATCCTGTAGTAATAGAAGATAGTCGCAGAGGCTAATGGTATTTGTATTAATGTATGCTGCCGCCTGGGTGATCGCCAGTGGGAGAAAGGCCAGCTGGTCCAGAAAAGCAATGACTGTGTTACGGTCATTTAGTAAGTCTTTTCGGATAAGTGCGTCGTGTAAAATCTGGACAGACATTTCTGTGTTTGGCTCTGTGACTGTTATCACATAGGAAGACACGAGCTTTACAGCTACCTTCCGGCTGCGTGTGGTGAACAGAATATGTCCCTGCTCACTTTGCGGAAGAAAGTCTGTCAGTGCTGAGTCGTTCTTGTTGTCCTTGCTCCACATCTCCAAATCGTCTGCGTTGTCAAAAAGAAGAAGCCACTTCCCAACACTCTCCTGGCTGAGATACGCCTTGACTTTTTCTTTCACCTCGGCTGGGCTTATGCCAGTCATTCCTAGCTTGGAGGCGATGCTCATATAGCCTTGTTCCACACTCTCATAGCTCGTACATGTGATCCAGAAAATCGAGCATTTGGGGTCTCGATCTCGCATGCGGTATGCCAAATCCAGTGCAATCTGGGTCTTCCCCACTCCACCGAGTCCGCAGAGAGCAACTTTGCCTGGGCCGTCTTGTTGCACGATCCATGCTTCCATCCTGGTAATTTCTTCTTCCCGACCAACGAAATTGAGGTTCTTTCGAAAGGGGACCATCCAGACGGGTTGCCTTGATCCCTGTACTTCATTCTGGTGGCTGTAAAGCGGAACCCCAGACAGGAGAGCCTTCGCATAGGCTGCAGCAGCCAATGCGGCGTATCCTTGCCACTGTTTGTTCTTGTGAGAATCACAGTAGTCACAGATGCCTCGAATGGCCAGCGATGGGAGCTCGTCCATGAGCCCGGCCGCCTCCATTTCAAAACAGAGAATGTCTAGGTCGTGCGCAATGGAATCTCGAGTCGTGGCATCTTTCATGACCTGATCTCCCGACGCGATCAAACCATAATGACAATAAAAGCCGTCCGTTCTCCGCTCGGGACGTCTTACTAGCTGGATGGGATCGCATGCTGAGCAGTTTTTTCTACCGTCCTCATGACCATACGTTGATTGAAATAGCCAGTCGTCCTTCGGTCTTGCAAATCCTTCTTTCATCTCTTCATACCTGTGCAGGACATCGACCAAGATTGTGTTCATCGACCGGTTTCCAATCATCCAGTCACTCTCTAATTGAGACACCGCCTTCAATAACACGGGAGGCGGTTTATTGAGTGACCCCGTGTGTTGGAATTTCCCGTCATGAAGCGTCTTGCCGTAATCATATTGAATTACACCACTTGCTGTCGCCGTGGGCTTGCTGATGACCACATCACCCAGACGAATGTCCGCCCTGGGGCCCGGGACTCCGCCTCCAATCCCCACCATCAATCCGAACCGGATTCGCCGAAAGGTCGAGACCATATGGGACGCGACTGCTGTCGCGGATATCGTCCCATAGACACCGCCTGGCAAACAGGCCAGCACTACGTTGTGGCCGCTCACACTCCCCAGAGTGTAGACATTGTGGTCAGTTGGTGGCTGGGGGAGCGGAGGGTGAACCTCGTCCAGCATGACCTTTGCAGCCGCCAGTTCCAGCGGCAAGGCGCAGATCCATGCGATCGTATAGTCGTCGTGGGTGCAGATCATCTTCTAGAAGTCATGTACAATAATGAGGTACGGGTTTGCGAGAAGGGAGAATTTGCTCTGTGGTCGAGAGACAAGAGAGCTTGTATGAAAGTCGGTATTCGAGTTGCAGGATCACATTCGAGGGTGAGAGTGACTCGTGAGGGTGGGAGGGATCATCCGCTACGTGGCTGCGAGGCTGTCGCGGTTCAAGAGCCAATCAAGTCCCACCAACACGTCAAGTCACGTACCAATTCGCTCTTCATGGTAATCACATAGATGTACAGGTATCTATAAAGAAAGAGAGCGGAAAGACCGAAGATGCAATATGATTGTGTATACCCACGAAAATCACGTGGGAAGGCTAGCCCTAAAATATGAAGTTGAATCGTGAGACCCTCAATCCGGTCCATGCGACATTTCGGTGTTTCCGCACGAATTTGCGATTCCCGGCGGACGGCGCTCGTTTGTCTGTCATACGGCATTCATGTCAGAGCGGGTTTTACCGTTTTACAGAAAGCGATTCCGTCGGATGTTGCTCGCAAAGCTATTGAAGATACATGAGGGAGGAGTAATGGACGACGCAATACTCGCATGTATACCGTTTCCACGAGACTGTTACTCCGATATAATGGCAGTCGTGGGGACCGTCGTGGCCCCCTAAGTCCGATCGGACTCGTTTTTGGACGCTTCGAGATCCTTGGCAGAGCATTCCACCAACATTCGTAGACAACGACCGTCCGGCAGAATGGCCTCATTTTCTTCCTTCGATTGCCCACTCTCCACAAAAGAAGAGCTTGGGAGAGGAGCACTCAGCAGACTGTAGACGTGTTTTTTACTAGAACACGCTCCTTGGTTCCTCTGGATCCCAATGCAGCAGCAGTAGCAAAATCATCGGATTGTACCGTTTCTTATTCGATCGTCCAGAACATGATGCATTCTCACAGGCCGTCATCTCCTTGACTCTTCGATATCTGACGAGTGACGACAGGGCCAGTGTCGTCACGTGTAGACAATGACTAATCGTCGCGTCGTATCCATGATGTCATGTGACAGCGCGAGGGAAGCCGAAAATCCTCGGATTTTGACGTCGTTTTCCTCTCGGCAGCCCCGAGACGCGCCCCCCACGCTGCTATTCGCGGGTGAGACGACACCGGCATGAGTCTGTCACTCCACCATTTGCCCGAAGAGATCCTTTACCATATCCTCTCCTACTGCCCTCCGACCACCTGCGCGGCTCTGAACGGCACCGCCTCGCACTTCCACGGCGTCTCCAACGAGCCGCGACTATGGCGCCTCTACTGCCAGCGGTCGTTTCATCATTGGGATCCCCGGCATGATCTCCCGTCCAAGCTCGCCGGTCCGGTCGCCGCAGTGGAGTGGAAGGATTTGTATGTCGCGCGACACCGGGTGGACCGGACCACCCGGCACCTACTGGACGGGATCCTGGCGGAGCAGACGGGTCGGATGGAGAAATTCCGGGCGCTGGTCGAGTTGGGATGCGATGTGAAAGATACCCTTCTACGGAATTGTGCCCTAGACGCCCGACATGATGACGTTCTGGCGCGAACGTGAGTGGATACCTCGCGCGAAAAATACACCCCCGCACCGGTTCTGACAGGTAGCCATCCCGGCAGATACTATGCGCGTGCGCTGCTGAATGCCCTCCATCGGAACATGGCGGTTCCCCAATGGACGCGACTTCGCAGAGGAGAGCCCGTGTCCCTGGAGCAGGCCCTGGGAACGTTTGATCTGTTTCTTCCGGAGAGCACATTTGGAGGCCTAGAAGAAGTGGGTGGCCCGCCTCTGCAGGAACCCGTGGATCGCGTCTAATCATCCCAGCAGATCAGCGCCCGACTGGATGAGATGGCCGGCCAGATCTCCCGTGCCGACCCGGAACTCGACAGCCGAACCTTGCGAGACAAGGCGAAAGCTGTTCTCGCCTACCTGCGGGGGAACGGTTTGACGGGCATGGATGGCCGCCGGGAATATCACAGCATTGATCATAACTTCCTAGGACTGGCATTACAGGATCCCGGCCATAACTCCCTACCCCTCATTTCCGCCGTCCTATATTGCGCCGTGGCGCGACGCCTCGGCCTGGATGCCCGCCCGTGTGGGATCCCGTTCCATGTTTACGTGACCGTAGTGCCCGCCGCGGGCTACGACATAGACGACAATGTGCTAGAACCCGGGACGGTCGCAGCCGCCCTGTACCTGGATCCCTTCCGATCTCCACGGGAAACGCCCGTGGCCGACCTACACAGCCAATTGACTCTTCTGGGGGCCTCCCCGGCGCAACAACGCATTTTCCTGAACGGGTCTCGAACTGCAGAGATCGTCCTGCGGTGCAGCCAGAGCATCTCGGACTCGGTGAACCTCCAAGTGCAGCTCCCGGGCGTGCATCTATCCGCTCCTGTGGACCTGAACAGTGCGCGCTACGCGGCGCTGTGGGCGTCGATTCTCTTGCTCCCTGCTTCCCGGTCCCGAGAGCGCCGGGACCAATTGCCGTGGTTCCTCGAGCTGTTTGCCACGGAATTTCCGTGTGACCTGTACCTTGTCGAGCGACATCTCGCCCCGCTGTTCGCAGGGACCATCGAGCACGAGCAGATCCTGCGGTGTCTGCATGTGATCCGGGCCGTCGATGAGATCCCCAGGCCGGTGAAACGACGGACGGCGGAACACAGCCATATCGAATACCGAGTCGGTGAGGTGTTTCGCCACCGGCGGTACGGGTATACGGGGATCATCACGGGGTGGGACACGGAGTGCGATGCGGGAGAGCGGTGGATGCGACGCATGGGGGTAGATCGCCTGGCGGGAGGACGGCACCAGAGTTTCTATCACGTTTTGTACCTCTTCCTTTTTCCTTTTTTCTTCTTCCTTCCCCCTTGTTGCTGAACACGAGTTGAATTCAGGTGATGGCTAACTAGTCGTAGGGTGGAAGACAAAAGTGTGCGGTACGTGGCGGGGGAGAATATTACGCGCATCCAGCCGCATGAGTCCGACCTCCCACGGACCCTGGTCGCGATCGCGGGCAAACATTTCAAACGATGGGATGACGATCGCTGCGTCTTCATCAGTAACATCACCGACGAGTATCCGGACGATTAGACGGCTCCGCTGGTTTCGGCTTCATCGATCCATCCGCTCTAGGAGGCGCCGCACCCGGACGGCCCAACCTCCCCGCATCAGCTCCTCCCCTGCGGCTCGATATGGCGTCCTGCATCGTCGTTCGCCTTCTCCCACGCCGACGGGCTGACCGCGACCGCCGACACGAGAGTGGGATGCTGAACACCCTCGCCACAGGGCGTTACATACCGCGCAATCGAGCAGAGACTGGCAGGGCAATCGCGCCTGAGTCGTGGGGATGATCACGACATAGTATGTCTCGTAGTCGGCCGACCGTTCCTCTGCTCTATCGGCCACGGACTTACGGCAGTCCAAACCTTTTCACTGCCGCTAGAAAAGAAATTAGTATTAGACCACCTCTGTCATTGGGCCGGCAATCGATCACTTTTCCTTTCTACTTCCGTTCTTATTATCTCCATACTCGTGTGTTAGCCTCATATTAAGTGTTGAGGCTGTCTCTGGTTGACACCTAGCTTCCGTCAGTAAAATGACGCAATATATATGATGAAGCGTTTTGCATACATCCCTGCGTGAGGCGCTCGCTTTTCGTACTACAATCATCGTAGGATGCCCATTATATATCAGTTACCGCGACCGTTTTCAGATTGCACTGTTTAGTTCTGCTCGTTTTGGTTGGACTGTGAGCGTGGTGACTGGTGTGGCCCTTACCACCGTGCGAGGAGGTTGTTGACAGGGTGGCTGCCTGAATGCCTCAACGCGGACCGGGTGTTGATGCCTGAGGCCGCATCGGCTATCAACCTCGGCAGTCGAGCGGGTGTGCTCTGATCCGGCGGGGGAACGACGTCAATTCGCGATGGATATTTCGATCGGTGTCTCTGTCACATCTCCTGCTCCTTACTCTGTACTGTTCTGTGCAACATACACCCTGTGATCGATTGCCCCTCACCATGGCGACGCCCGGCCTCCTCTACGTCACGATGCAGCCGCGGGATTCCCTCCCGGCGGCGCAATTCCACGACTGGTATAACTCTGAACATGGCCCCCTGCGCCTGCGTCTACCGTTTGTCACCAACGGCTTCCGCTACCGCGCGACCGATGGCCGGGAGCCGGAGTGGGTTGCGTTGTATGACATCACCGACATGGCGGAGCTGACGCGGGAGACGTACCTGGCGCTGCGGGGCGACGGGATCAAGACCCCGCGCGAGAAGGCCACGATGGCGCAAATTGCCGTGGGTCGCCGCCTCTACGACCTGCTGGACGACCAGAAAGCATCCGACTACACTCCTCTCGAGCAGATCCCTGACTCCCAGGCAACGGGCGCGGTGCTCATCGCCATCACCACCGTCGTGCCCGCGGAGCACGAAGACGAGTTGAACCGCTGGTATCGCGAAGAACACCTCGACATGCTGGCCCGTGTGCCCGGATGGCGCCGGAGTCGCCGCTTCGTCACGGCGGCCATCGATCCTCAGGCTCCGCGCGAGTTCGTCGCGCTCTACGAGTACGCGGCGCAGAACGGCCTCGAGGGCCCTGAGCATCAGGCGGCTCTTCACACCCCCTGGCGGGACCGGGTCATGAACGAGCTGGTCACGAGCAAGAGCCGGCGCGCGTATCAGTGGGCGTACACTTTCGGTCCCGCCCCGCGCGAGTTATCGTCGCTGGCCTCGTCGGAGGTGGCGGGCCCCTGGGCCTCCAACGACGGCCGTACGCGAACGCTACCGTCCCCCACGCGCCCCGCGGTGGAGTCCTTCGTCACCACGCCGGACGGGGTGGATCTACCCTACCGCCTGGAGGGAAGTGGAGACCCGAACAGTTCGGTCCTGGTGCTGAGCAACTCGATACTCGTGGACTACAGTATCTGGGACGGATTCGTGGATGCATTTTTGTCCGATCCGCGCAACCGGAACTTCCGCGTGCTGCGCTATCTGACCCGCGGCCGGCGCGACCAGTGCGGCACTACCCCTATCACCATCGACGTGCTCGCGGACGACATTGTTGCCCTTCTCGACGCTCTGCGTATCCCCGAAGCGTCCTTGATCGGAGTCAGCCTGGGCGGCGTCACCGTGCTGAACACCGCCCTGCGTCACCCGAACCGGGTCACCCGGTTCGTATCCTGCGACACCAACAGCTCCGCCCCCGAGTCCAACCGGAAGGCCTGGAGTGACCGACACGCCCTGGCGGCGAGCGAGGGGGCCGTGTCGGCAGCGACGCAGCAGCCGATCGTCGGCGAGCAGCTCGCGGAAGTAACCACCCGACGGTGGTTCGTGGCGGATACCTATGAATTGCAGCCGGCTGTGGCCGCGCACGTCAAGGAGGCGGTGCGCAATAACAGCCTGGAGGGCTTCCAGCGGAGCATGCAGGCCCTGTGCGCGTACGACGTGCGCGCGCGCATGGCGGAGGCCACCGTCCCCGGACACTTTGTCGCGGGCGAAGGCGACGGCGTGCTACCCACGACGATGAAGCAGATGGCGCAGGACCTGAAGGGCGACGCCCAGTTGTCTACCATTCCCACGGCGGGCCATCTGCCTATGGTGGAGCAGCCTGCCGCGTTTACAGAAGTCGTCAATCGGTTCTTCCATTCATAGATACTTGTTCCCGTTCGTGGGACTCCAATAGAAGCTCGCTCAGTCTCTCTCTCTCTCTCTCTCTCTCTCTCTCTCTATCTAGTTCTCTTTGTGAGAACTGGCCTCCAATCAACACTATAGATTCTGGCGGCGGAAGACCATTATCACCAGCGGTCAACCGGCCAACCAGCGAATAGTAGATTTTTAAAGAATCCACTCGCCCTTCCCACGGTCTTGGCTGCGGGACAGGGATCGAGATAGCCTGTCCGGACGGGCCTAATGATCTCGAGAGGGGTGATCTGACTGGTAGTCGACGTACTCCCGGTAACCCCGCATCGGGTTCCTCTTTCTCTAGCCATATCTCCCCGCCCCCTTCCTCAACCCCGCAGGCCCTCAATATTCCTCGAAATTCACAATGACAGACTATTCATCCTCACCCCCGATGGTCCATCATATTGGCCGGGAGCATGGCCATCCATGCTGGTCCCGACACATCCCGCCCGTGCGGACCGTCTCGTCGGGGGAGACAGTCACCTTCGATACCATCGACAGCAGCAGCGGCCAGATCACGCCGACCTCCGACGCCACGACGCTCCGAGAGTTCGACACCAGCCAGGCCAACCCAGTGTTCGGTCCCGTTTGGGTGCGCGATGCCCAGCCGGGCGACGTGCTCCGGGTCGAGGTGATCGCCCTGCAGACCGCTGACTGGGGGTGGACGGCCATCATCCCTGGCTTCGGCCTGCTGGCAGACGAGTTTCCCGATGCCGTCCTGCGCATCTGGCGTTTAGATCCCGGAGCGCAGCGCATCCGGTTCGGCGATTCTGGTATCTCTATCCCGTTGCACCCCTTCCTGGGATGCATGGGTGTCGCGCCCGCCACTGACGAGGCCCTCTCGACGGTGCCGCCCACGCACGCCGGGGGGAACCTCGATTGCCGCGAATTGACGGTCGGATCGGCGGTGTCCCTCCCCGTCCAAACGGCGGGGGCGCTGTTCAGCTGCGGGGATGGACATGCTGCGCAGGGGCACGGTGAGGTTTGTGGCACTGCCATTGAGACGCCCATGCGGGCGACGCTACGGTTTGTGTTGCACAAGGACCAGCCGTGGGTGACGACGCCGCACTACGAGACGCCGCCGCGGGGCCTGGAGGTGCAGAGCGACGAGACAGCTGGCCGGTATGCGGTCATGGGTATCGAGGATAACCTTCTGGAAGCGACGCGGGAGGCGGTCCGCGGTCTGATCCGGTGGTTGGTCGAGACGAAGGGGCTGACGCGCACCGACGCCTACATGCTGGCGAGCGTGGCGGGCGATCTGCAGGTGGTGCAGGCCGTGAATATGCCCCAATACTCTGTGTCGATGTCACTATCGCTGGGGGTTTTTAACGAGACGGGGATGGACTCGGGCTAGATAATGGGGGCGCCTTTCATGTGCGCGGTGATGAGACTGGAATCGTCCACTAATTGTACGAGACACCCTCTCTCCCGATCTGTGCCATCCCCCCCGAATCCGGTTGGGTGGGGGAAGAGGGACAACGCATCGTGTACTATAGCCAGTCTCTGGAAAGCTTATAGAAACACGAGTCTATTGTTCGCCCCCATAATGTAGGTGTAGGATACTTGTCGCCCGTGGCGCACCGGACTCGATTCGGCGTCGATCGGACAGGATCGATACGATCATGTCCTTCGAGTAACATGGTTACGATTCCGTTTGTCGTCTTGTTACAAAAGCCGTCTCCTTGTGCCGGTCAACTGCAAATAACGATGGTTGTGGAAAGGTTCGACGCTGTGGGTTGGTTCTAATGAGATATCGCTTCCACCGTACAAGTGGCAGGGACGTGTATTCAACCTTCCCTGTGTTGCGTCCATGTTGACCCTTTTGTATCCTTGATAGTGAGATCACTTTTATCGTATTATAAAGTCAAAATTGGAAAGGCCTAGATTCTCTCGCATTATGCTTTGCGGTGCAATGCGGCCCACAATACACGTCAACACCCCTGGGACCGTGGATCGGGAACCTCGTTAAGCCACTCCAATTGTTGATACAGGAGCGAGTTGGGCGACATTTTTGCCAAGGAAGGCAGCGCCTTCTGGAGTTGATAGGGTGTTCGAGAGAAACCGATTGGCCGGCAATGCAGTGTGGTGGTATGGAATAACGTAGGGCTCGCAACAATTCATTCTCCATCTTTACATGCATGCATGCTCCAGATGTCAGTTTGATACATTCCACTGCCTTTTCATCTGCTGCTTTCATCCCTGGCCCAGGTGATCGGGACATCGAAGGGACCTGGACGATCAGATACCGATTGACTGCCTGTCCGGCAACGTTCTTAGCATCGACAAGGTGGACCTGATCGTTGCGGAAAGAGGCAGACTATAGAACAGTGATGCTCTCTGTCATTGCTCTCTGTGCCCTAAACGATATCAGAGAGAAAAGGACCTATACGCGCCGAACCAACATTCCAAGGGTAAACTCAGATTCTCGGTATTCTCGCTCCAATGACCAATCCATCCCCAGAGTCAGGATTAGCATTATAAATATGAAAAAATATGTTGCTCCTGGTCGGCAATCGAACCATATATCGAATAGCACCTCCCTGAAACACCCCAGTCGTGTCCACCCACCATGAAGATCAGTGTCTTGAGAAGCGTACTGCTCCTTTCGACGGCTGCCGCTGCCGTGGAGGATCATTGTGGAGTCGACGAGGTTCTTTCATCCCTTAGCAAAGTCACCAAAGATGCGTCGGCCATGCCGACCCTGACGGATAAGGCGGATGATTCGATTGCCAGCGGCAGCGTAAGGGGCAACATGAAATGCCCCCCTGTTCCCAGCCTTCTGGGTTCTGTGAGAGCTCGTGCTAAGCGCACCGATAGTCGGTTTTGGCAGATGTAGAAACCTCCTGAAGCACTTCAACACCGACATCCGATGCGATGTGGTCATTGAGGATGCAGCCGATCAGCAGAGGGTCTGCGAAGCGTACACCAAGGTATGACGGAATCCGCCACCGCAGTCCCCGTTCGCTGGAAGGGCAATTCCTCCTCTAACAAGATGCCTGGTCTACAGTTTGCCGTGGAACAGAAAGAGTCGGTGGATGTTACGTTGGACTCATCGTTCAAAGAGAAGAACGGAGGAGGATTCAAAGCGGACGAAGTCCATTCGTACACGATCCAGTTTCAGGGTGCCCTCGATGCGTGTACTCCTGTCTTGGAGATATCGCCGCGTGCTAATGCAGTCCACAGGGCTATACGGACAGGATTAAAGCCGGCGTTCCAACCTGCGCTGATGCGATCATGAATGCATATACCGTTGTCCAGGACTTGGCCTTGGTCCGTTCATTATACCCGGCGGCGGACGAGCAGGTGTGAACGTGACTGGCAACGGGTGGCTTCTCTCTGTTATGTTGGCAGAAGTATTCCTCGCTGTCGCGACTTTGATATTCTTGTGTATTGCTACCAGTCACCCAGCATCGCGACAGAGAAGTGGCAAACATAGCAGCATGACCAGTGGAACTCAAGTCGTAGTGATCGTATTCCTAATGGTGAAGTAAAAATGCAGAGACAGCGGCGGTATTCACCCCAGCAGACATGGTATGAGACTGGCTGGTTCTCCGCACCGACGTCTCGCATACTCATGCAAATGTAGCCGGTTTACTCCGTAGCAACTGGAGTCATAAGATCAATGACTAGGCTATGCAGTCATCTCCGGAGACTCAACGAGATGCAGCGTCGTAGGTCCTTCCGTCGTTCACGGTGGCTAGCATATCCTCGCGAGAAACCCCCCTTCCTCATCTTTAGCGAAGGACTAGATCATCGGAGTGGGAGAGTGGTGAGTTCCGTCTCCCATGGTGGTAGCATGTCCTGGTCAGCCAGACTGATGTCATGAAGAAACCTACCCCTAGTAGAGCCGATCCGATGAAGAAGTAACCTGTTCCTTGCCGTCCACGCCATTGGCGTATCCTACATGGCATAATGACAAGTAGGGCAATTATTTGTCTGCTGACGGGGATGACCGAACGGTCGAAACATTTCGGTACTGAAACCCTATATACGGCCACAAGAGTTTGTCACGTATACTGTAGAAGACGGGCTCTGATGCTACTGCCCTTGGGATGTGTGGGTCACCATCGACCGCATAGGATCAAAACGCGTAGCGCGAGGTTGTGTTCATTGATCGAGTAAAAGAGATCGGCATCACGATATCTACAGATCCTCAGAATCACTCCGCTTCCATGTTCTCTAGCCACTGAAATCTTGCTTCGTCACGATTCCGAGGGATCTCTGGGTCATTCTTCTACGCAACCATCGAGAAACGGCCTCATCCGTTGCCGAGCACATCTCCCCCACGGTCCCCGGACAGTCCCGTCTTCTTTCTCTTTCACGTCGTCCCTGTCCTTCTTGCGGCCTCCCCGTATTGGTAACACGCTTCCGGTGTCCCTGCATCTCGAACCACGTCTCTCGCCAATTTCTCCTGTTTCAATTGCCGTTCAATCTCGTTGGCGAGAGAGATGGGTGGATGTGCATGAAACGGTCGAGCTGGCTTGTCAACCAGCCCTGCGTTCGCCGTGGCCGTAGGACGACAATACGCTGCACGGTCCCGATTCGGGTCGACGACGACGGAGGCACGCACCACGCCCTTGGGATACGCGTGCTTGGCGGTCTCTAGCGCCCGCTCTTCGACTCCGCCGAGCCCCACCAGTACGGTGGACCAACCGTCTGCCGATTCCTATTCCCGCCGACCATCCAACGGACGATGTGAATCCGCTGGTCGATCCTCCGGGTTGTCCGGGGAGCAGTCCCGGTGGTGGAGAGGGAGTCTTCATTGGAGAGGGAGTCTTGACGAGAACGAGACGAGACTAAGGTTTGACTAGTCAGCTGGCGGGCCGATCCAGCTGAGTCACCCCATGACATCACATGATAGTGACTGCTCCGTCATTCTTCCTTGCTGGGTCTCTTTGTCTCTTTCAGTCTCACTTTCTCTCTCTCGCCTGCGCTTTGCGCTCTCGCTCTCGCTCTGGTCAAATCCAACGTCACATCCATCTCATCTCTTGACATCCATAGGTGGGAACCGGCGTCCTCGGCTTTCCGTGAATCGACCCCGATTGTCCATTTCATTCGTGTTGACCGCCGCCGCGGGGACCCGTAGGATGGCCGCGCACGCAAGAGGCTCGCCCAGCGTGTCCAGCCGGGATGCGGACGCGGACGCCAGAGAGGCGGAGATCCTGTCGCAGCATCTGCATCCGCAGTTTACGGGCGCCCTGCACGAGGAATCGCCTCGCCCGCCAACCGAGCGGTCCAAAGCCCAGTCGCCCCCGAACGCCGCCGCATCTCCCGAACCCCAATCCTCCTTGACGCTGCAAGGGGGCGACGTCCATCGAGACCTTTATCGCATCGAAGCGCGGTCGAAGCAGGCACGCCTGTCGCGACGACCCGCCAGCTATTCTTGCCCGCAACGCGAACCGGAGGATGTCGTCGAGGAAGGCGTGGTCGCCATGGAACCGGGGAGTTTTCGACGCCACTTCGTCCAGCATCACAACGGGCGGCTGGACCAGCCTGGCCTGACCCCATCCTTCCTCGACTTCCTCGATCTCTATGGGAACTTTGCCGGGGAGGACTTGGAGGAATCGGAGGACGAATCGATCGACCGGGGTCGACCGAGGACGGAGCGGACGCCGCTGCTGGCCACCCGCCGTCGCTCGCGGGGAGCGCGGCCGGGGGATGCTTCGGAGGTGAAGACGTTCTTCACCCTGCTGAAGGCCTTTGTCGGGACGGGCATCATCTTCCTGCCACGGGCCTTTCGCAACGGCGGCATTCTTTTCTCCTCCATCACGCTGGTGACCGTGTCAGGCATCAGCTCGCTCTGCTTCCACCTGCTGCTGCAATGCCGACGACGCTATGGCGGCGGATATGGCGACCTCGGGGAGCAGATCGGCGGGCCACAACTGCGGTCGCTTATTCTGGGGTCCGTGGTCATCTCCCAGATCGGGTTCGTGTGTGCCTGCATCGTCTTCACGGCGGAGAACCTGCACGCCTTTTTCATGGCCATGACCCGGGACCATCCGACGTGGGTCATCACCACCGGCGCCCTGATTGCGGTGCAGCTGATGGTGCTGATCCCGTTCTCGTGGATCCGGAACATCTCTAAACTCGGGCCCGTCGCGCTGCTGGCAGACGTGTTTATCTTGCTGGGACTCGCTTACATCTATGCCTACGACGTCGTGACGCTGGCCGCCCAGGGGGGCATGGCGCCCACGGTCGAGCTGTTCAACCGCAGCTCGTTCACGCTGACGATCGGGTCGTGCATCTTCACCTTCGAGGGCATCGGGCTGATCCTCCCGATTCAGTCTTCGATGAAGCGGCCGGAGCACTTCAACCGGCTCCTGTACGCGGTCATGGCGATCATCACCGTCCTCTTCACGGCGGTCGGGGCCCTGACCTACGCCACCTTCGGCGCGGACACCAACACCGAGGTGTTCAGCAACCTCCCGCAGACGGACCGCGTGGTCAACGCGATCCAATTCCTCTACGCGGTGGCGATCCTGGTCAGCAGCCCCATCCAGCTGTTCCCGGCGGTGCGGATCATGGAGGGGAAGCTGTTCGGGTCGGTGTCGGGCAAACGCGACCCATCGATCAAGTGGAAGAAGAACGTGTTCCGGACGGGGGCGGTGCTGGGATGCGGGATGGTGGCGGCGCTCGGGGCGGGGGATCTGGACAAGTTCGTGTCGCTGATCGGCTCGTTTGCCTGCGTGCCGCTGGTCTATATCTACCCGCCTTACCTGCACTGGCGGGGGGTAGCCGAGTCGCCTTGGGTGCGGCGGGGGGATCTGCTGATGATGGCGCTGGGGGTGGTGTTCATGTTCTATACGACAGGGTCCACCGTCTCCGCGTGGATCCAGGGAGGGTTGTGAGGGAGCGAATTGGTTAGCGCCCCCTTTCCTTCGATCAAGACATACACGGCCTTTTTATCTTTCTCGTTTTGCCGTAGGCGCCAGCCCCATTGTCACCATCGCGGGATTGGAAAGGACATGTAGGACAGACTGCGGTGTTACATGGTATCGTCATTACGGTTTCACGATTTGATCATCATTTACGCACGCTGCACCAATGTAGTCCACCAGAAATTGCTCGGAACCTTTCAACGGGGCCCCTCTACCAGGACTCCTTCTTCGTACAGCATGTCTCGAGACTGGTGCGACCACCCGCACTCTTCAAGTCACTTTCCCGCTCCCACACCAAGACACACTAGACCTTACAGGGAGTTCTCCCGGAGTACCCCTGTAGATTGCGTGTGTATTGCTTAGTTCGTAGTCTACTTGGTAATTTTAACCATGTATTGGCTTGTCAGTTCACTAACATTGACACCTCCATCCCCCTCACCTCAAACAACCCTCCTTGGGAGGCACACTTGACAGTCAATCACAAGTGATCTAACAAGTGTATTCCATAATGGCGAACTATCTCTGAATCAGATGGCACAGGCTGCTGGCTGTCATAGCAGTGCCATTATGGAATGTTTCTTTCAATATACAGATGTTTGGTAGTGTCAAGGCATCGCCAAAGTCTTTGACGCATGGTATACTAGAACACTCCTCCTGTATTCTCTGACGAGATCCGATGTGCCTTCCTCAAGAGGCGAGCTGACTGTCTTGTAGCCGCCTCTGTATAAGAAGTGCAGTACGATATGCTCAATATCTTCATCGAAATTTAATATGATGATAGTCGATGACCCAAGAAACGAAAGGGCGAGCTTTGGGCAACTCCGAAGGAAATGAGCAGGAATGCCATATTGCTTGCTCTCTACAATAAGGGTAATAAGATCAAATTCGTAAGGCCAGTGAATAGGTCAGAAAAGGCTGAACCTGACTCCTTCAAACAATTCACGATGTCAAGGCCGATGAGAGTCAGCTTTGAGGGAGACTTGTGGGGGGTCGACTGGGCACCTCATTCAATGTGCGCTGCTTCGTTTTCTTTTTTGCCATGTTTCGGTTTTTAAATTTGCCGGCTATCAAGTATCTCTCCAAATATATTCTGAGAAACATATGTATAATCAAGATGAGAGAAAGCCTAACTACATCTAAATTACGCGGTGGATGAGGGATAAGCAGGGTAATGCAAGCATGACTTGTCCTGCGAAGCGGCTGCAACATGCCATCTGTGTGGTAGTTGGCAACTTAGTGTTACTTATTGACATGCAGCATGAGCCGTAGATGGCCCGCCACAGGTATCAGCTGGTTGTGACTTTGAAGGAGTTTTCGGTTTTGGAAGACGCATCTGCGCCCCTCAACCCTTAGTAGGCTGGAGGGAGAATGTGATATCCCCGACAATCCTGGACTCCTACCAGTTGCTGTCATGTCAAAACCTTCTCATAATCTTGTACCGTGTCACCGCCTCCAAGGTAATTGGTGCTTTCAAGCTGCAAGAATCGAACTAACATGGTGCCACCACACCCAGTGGATTATGTCCAGCTCAGGTATTAAAGAGTGGTGAACTCAGCACCTATCAGACTGGCGAGGCTGCTAGCGACAGCAAATGCATAACCACCAGGGTCTGCCTAACCTATGGACGATTCTATAGACAGCTGAATTATCACTTCAAACTTCACATACAGCATCACTCTTGGAATCACCTGCAGGGTCCTTTCGCCCATCACTTTCTTCTTCGCCAATCTCCTATTCGACAAAGGAGAGCCGTACCCCAAAGGCTGTATGAGAACTAGACAATCAGTACACACAAGGTAGGGCTAGATTATGCAAGTATGTGTTGGCCAAATCCATGCGGGGTAATACACAAAGATGCTACTGATACAAATATCTGAGGAATTCAGCCCAAATATCATTCACTTTAGCTACTATAGTACCACTAACCAAGCAAGACAACAATGGGTTCTCTTAGAGTCGGAGGCATATCCCGCCCGGAGTTGACAGATGTTAAGAAGACCGGGCCATCCATCACGAATGTGGAGCATTTATCTTCTTATAATTGGATTGAATCATCCAACCCCACTATTGCTGTCCCCGGCTGCCCGCCTCTTTGGTCTCCACCCAGTACCCCCAAAAGAGTGGCCAAAGACTCCGGGCTCATTTACATTGCTCAAAACGCGTTTCGCCATCCTGAAAGTCCGCTCGAACCACTTTTTCGCTCGCTGTACACTGAAAACCCTTCATACAACATACACCAAGTTGACTTGATAACTGATCGAAATAACGTGCGCAAACTTCTGTCGTTCATCAATCCTAATCTCTCTCGAAATGGGCTGGAGCCTTTCACTATAGAAGTTGAGGTCACAGGTAATACAGCAACTTTTTGTCGAGCAGAATCTAAAACACATGAATTCATCGGGCCACATGACTTCAGGGGATACGGTCATGAGTTTGAGAAAGCTTTCACAACAACTCAAGTACCCGGCAGTACTGGACATCATCGGATAATCTCCTATAACCTGGGCGATATGAAATTCATCGTACGCTATGAGACTGACGCTTACGTTGAAGATCATTCACATCTTCCACCTCAAAGGGTGGGTTCGGAAAATGAGAATATCCTGAACATGATGGAAAACCTGTCTCTTTCGCGACCCGAGACTCACTCTCGTCTTGCCACCAATTCCAAATTAGTGGTCCAGAAAAAAGGAAAGCAGGTACCAATCAAGACAACTCTTGAGATCAAAACACGCGTGTCCCATAAGCCTCTCAATATCCAGGATCTTTTGCCCCAGCTATGGGTATCGCAAACACCCAATCTTGTCTGTGCCTACCACAATTATGGCACATTCAGGCCGGCGGAAGTCAAAGATGTCACTCGTGATATTGCTGAGTGGGAACAAAACCATGCTTATGACCTTCAAAGGTTGGTTGTATTGGTCAAGGAAGTCATTAGAGTGGTGAGAGAGAATGGTGGGAATGCTGTCATAAAATATGACGGTCAAAGTGACAAGCTTGCGGTTTTGAAGAAAAAAGGGAGCAGGATGTTACCAGATGATCTTTATCTCAAATTCGGTGATGAAACGGGACCAACTCAAGCGATTGAGTCGAATTCTCGCAAAACATCACTCAAAATTGGGGATAGTTTCCACAATGTTGACATCTTGGCGATACCATCTTGATCAACTTTTGTCAGGTCTCAACGCCTTTCCCAGCCGCAAGACACAGAATTTATTCACAGCGATATTTCTTTGTTTGATGTTGCTCTCAGGGGCTTGAAATTAGGCTATTAGAGTTGTTTCCTCTCTTTGCGAGGTGATATTCCTCAGTATCACATTCTCTGTGAAACATGATCTTCTCGGGGTTGACGTAATTGCTGGGCAGGGCAGTCGGTTGGTTAATTATGCCGATCTGAGGGCTTGCAACAACCATCACAAACTCGAGTATAATCATTATAGAGCTGTAAGGAGCGATAAATCTCGATCACGGGACACAGCGTTTCGACTTTTATCCCTGACAATACACGGCAGGCTCAGCGATGAAAGATGAACCCTGCCAAAGTTTACACCGCCGTGCCATTAATTCTCATATTCAGGCACCTTTAAACGAACACAACTGAGGGTGATTGTGGTGAGCCATATCTTTCAGACCAGTTTTAGGCCAACAAAATCTGTGCGAATTGTGTCTTTGGGCTAGGGTTGGTAGGCATCCGGTCTTTCACTGTCAGCGGTCAAGCACGTCCACTATTCACTACTCCATGCTTCCCTAGTACACTTTTTTTCCGCATGAGTAAGATTCTTACGCGCAGGGCACCAATTGCAGTTTCATACAAAGTTGATTGGTCCGAAAATATCCTTAGCATATTCAAGCATTAATTTGAGGAAACTACCTCGTTTGATGAATTGCGGCGTCGTCGTCGTCGTCGTCGTAGTAGTAGTAGTAGTAGTAGTAGTAGTAGTAGTAGTAGTAGTAGTAGTAGTAGTAGTAGTAGTCGTCGTCCTCATTATCTTGCTTGCTTGCCTAATTAACTGGCCGCCACGCAGGGGCGGAACACGGCGTCGCTCGGAATTAGTCCTAGCGCGCGCGGGTTAATGGCCGCCTCAGCGGTGGCGGAGGAGAATAAACATGCCAAATAAATGAAATCACAACACCAAGCAACCTCACATCGCGCTTCTCACGAGAATGTCTAATTTCAACTCACAACCATTGCGGCCTCCAAGAGATCGCGGCTGCCGCAGCTATATTCACCTTTGTTTTGGCTCTTGTTTTTGTCTTCAGGTCCGCCGTCCCCGGTCCCCGCTGCGGCTACCGTATCACCAGTTCCACCCCCATCGATGCATGATCCACCACATGGAATTGCCCGAGGAGCCATGTCTTGACAGATAGGTGTGGCTTCTTTCGAGCCTTAGTCAACTCCCAAAAAGAGACATCGGCGGGCACAAGCAGTCAGCTGAGCTCGCACCTCATCTGCGCACTGAGATCACTGAGTAGGGGACATACTAGGAGAAGACAAGTCAGGAAGCGGCTGACAGACATTGTACCACAGGCCCAGGATCATCTGGGCCCGCCTCAGTTATACTCTGGGAGCAGGCACGTACCGCCATTCGCCACGTCATTCCCGGAGTCTGCCAGATCGGACGTTTTCCCAACAGGCCCACGCGTCAGGACCACATGTTGTACCCCGCGAGATGAACCGTGCATCTGAGTCAACGCAGTCTCCAGTAGGCCTATGCTCAGATCTGACTGTTGATACGATCTCCTCGCCAATCGGGGTATGTCTCGGAAGACATGGAAGTTCCATCCTCGTGAAGTCAGAGGGTATATGATTGCGTTCCAGTCTGACGCTGACAAGGTCAGGCTGCAGCCAGATTTTGAATATAAACTAATCAACCCTCATGGCACCTAGCATACTCATGATACAGGTGTCTGCTTGAGGATAGACTTACTAGCGCATCATCTCTGTTATGCATCGAATACTCTCCCTTCTCCTTATTGGGTCGATTCTAACGCTAGGAGAGTCATCCTGTCGATGTCGACCATCAGACTCATGCTGGCCCTCCATCAACACGTGGGCGGCATTCAATGAATCTATTGATGGGCACTTGGTCCAACTGAGGCCGATCGCATCAGTGTGTCATGATCCCACATTTAATCACCAAGCGTGCAATTATGTGAAGAATATGACCAATAACAATGTGTGGCGAGCTAATCAGCCAGGTATATCTCCCTCCCGGATGATCAAGTGTTCACTAACAAGAGCAGGCGCATTGCAGAACCGCGTGTGGGAGAGTGGCTCCCAACCAGATGAGAGCTGTTTTCTTGATTCCCCACGCGCCCAGCCGTGTTACCAAGGACGCATTCCACTGTACTCTGTTGTCGCCGAATCCATCATTCATGTCCAGCGAGCTGTCCGATTCGCCCGCGGGCACAATCTGCGTCTTATGATCCGCAATACGGGCCACGACACCTCAGGCCGGTCAAGCGGCGCCGACGCTTTGCAGCTCTACACCCAGAAACTAAATGACATTGTTTATACTCATGACTTTCGTGCCACCGGCTCCAACGCTTCTCTCGGCCCCGCAGTGACCTTTGGTGCAGGCGTCACCTTTGAACAATTATATGCCCGTGGCGCTGTAGACAGCTTTATGGTCACTGGGGGGGACTGCGTCTCCGTCGGCGCTGCAGGAGGATACCTCCAAGGCGGAGGGGTCCCGGCGTTTCTGGGGCACACGTGGGGGCTGGGGGTAGACAATGCCCTCGAATTCGAGATCGTGACTGCCAATGTACAGTCTAAATAAAACCCACCAACTTGAAAGCAGAGGCTAACTCATCCAGGGTGACTTGCAAATCGCCAACTCACACAACAACCCCGATCTCTTCTGGGCCCTCCGGGGCGGCGGCGGCGGCACCTTCGGGGTTGTAACACGGGCCACGATGCGCACGTATCCGGACCTTCCCCTGGCTGTCGTCACCGCCAGCTTCTCTGGCCCTCGCAGCGACGCTAGACTGTGGAACGTTGGGGTTACACGCCTTCTCTCGGCACTGCAAACTCTCAACCACGATCGTAAGACAGGAGGTTACATGACGCTGTCCCCCAGTCCTAACGGCAACGACACCATCACTGCGCGGCTCATCATGCATTTCCTTAACACGACATCGGTATCTCTCGGGCGTTCGCGCGTAATGGCTCTCATCGGCAATAACACCTCAGTCTACACAGTGACATCCCGCGCAGTGCCCAAGCTCAGCACATACTATGGCGCGGAGAACATTGGCATGAGTGCGCTCTTCGGGTCGACACTACTATCAAATGCGTTATTTGACAATGACACCAACAGCACGCTTCACCTCGCTCAGCGCCTCTCACAGATTCCGCTTGGCCTCGGCGATGCCATCTTCACTAGTAACCTGGGCGGGGCTACCAATCGCATGATCGACACGCCCCTACATCCCGCGTGGCGGTCCGCCGCGCACTTGGTAACCATCATGGTGGGAGTATCGGAGGAGGCAGGGGCGCGTGATGCGACGGCGAAGCAGATGGCCGAAGTGCAGTTGCCGATGCTGTATGCGCTAGACCGGGGGCAGGAGCAGGTCGAGTATCGTAATCTAGGAGCGGCCTTGCAGAATGACTTCCAACGCATGTACTGGGGGGAGGAGAACTACGCACGGTTACTGAGAATCAAGCGGGCGTGGGATCCGGAGGACTTGTTCCTTGCGAGATACGGGGTGGGGAGTGAGGGGTGGGACGAGGAGGGAATATGCCGGTTACAGGGTGTAGGAGATGTCTGAAAGTGACGGATGTTTAGATAAAAGAGTGCAGGTTGAACTTACTACAACGTCTCGCTAGGAAGGAGAAACTACATCAACAGGGGCATTTGTATGCAAGAAAACAGCTATTCCGAGTCCCTGTCGATTCACATTCTCCGACACATCCAAGCCGTATGAATTGCACCGTTTAGGTAGCAGAAACATCCATTTACTTAGGCAAATTATCACCAAAAGTTATAGCCTAGTAGTAGTAGTAGTAGTCCTCGTTATCCCGTCTGCCGAGTTGGGCGGAGCGCCGCTCCGCCCGGAGAACCCCGCGGCCGGCGCGGGGAATGCGTGTTAGGCGGCAGCCTCAGGCAGCCTATCTGCCAATACCTGCGGGTGCTGAGTCATCAAAGACACCGCAGGCTAACGTATTTCCCAACCGAGTCGCCCACCACGACCGAGCCGCCCACCCTGTATTGCATATAAAATGACTATTTTGATACTTATATATCTCAACAACCAGCTATTTCCAGGGACTAAGATTAAAAGTATAGCTTAATAAAGCACTATATTTTTTATGTATATAATTATAGCCTGTTAAAATAGTTAATTTTATAGGTAATATAAATTACATGTGTATTTTTTGTATTTTATTATATCTACTTACTTAAGAATATTGTCATAGATTTTGAGCCTGAAACTTCGAATATAAGTTCTATATGCTATATATAAATGATCATAGAAGTATTAGTTCCTTATATCTCTTTGTTGTTGAGATATATAAGTATAAAATAGACATATTATATAGTTCAATACAGGGTGGGCGGCTCGGTCGGGGTGGGCGACTCGGTTGGGAAATACGTTACATGTATATAAGCCCCTGACCCCCTCATCCTTTGAAGGGTCAGCGATTAGCTCTAGTATAGACTCTCCCTTATTGTCCGCCATATAATCCTCTATTGCTACTCCTAGCACGTTACCCAACCCTTGGTGCGGCGTCCCCGGACTACCGCATAACAATGCGAGCAATACAAACAGGTCAAACAAATGAATCCATAACGCCAAATGTCTAGATATTTACCACTGCCCAAATTAACCAGTAGTCATGCTGGATGTCATCCGCTCAGTGGGTGTAGACCGTAGACAAGTCAGGGGAAGAGGAAATCGTAGGATTCTGAGGCTGATTATATATTGTGCACGTAGAGCGTCCGCACATCCAGCCCCACGTCTAATCGAAGTGGGTCTGTTAACCATAATGGGGACATGGTCGACAATTACAGACTTTTTCGTTTTCAGTTTCGTGGTTATACTCTTTGAAATTGTTTTCAGACCCTAATACCAATTTTTACCTAAACTGTATTGGACTATGTATTAGTTATACATGGGTCTTACTAAGGAAGTGTACAATACTGTACGGTCAGTAAGATTTCGATGGGTTTCAATTACAAGTAGTTCCGTACAGTTTACTCACCCAATTTATTTGCCACAGGGAAACGTCCAGAAGATTCAACCTGCCAGTGAAAGTAGTATGTATTCCACTATCCTCCAGGACCCTCCTTTTAAAAAGATATTCGAAAATAAAGAATAGCTGAAGGTAAAATATAATTGTCTGCCCTAGCTACTGAAATGTATAAACCAAACTTTGCCACTGACACACCCAAGTGCTAAAACGTTATTATGAACTGCTGATTTCAAAGGCCGATATTCTGGAGGAAGCCATATTTCTGTTCTACCCTCAATGGCCACCCATAGGCTTGATTGTATGGATGTCTGATTGTGAGAGGTAGTAGAACTTGAGGGGGGATTTTGCAACCTGGGTTGAATATTAAAATTACCCAAATTGGTAATGAGACATGTAGCAGCCTTGGAGAAGCAAATACTGCTAACTATACCCATTGTGTCCAGTGTCTCGCCGAGCTGGCCCGTGGCGGGATCCCAGATCTTGATGGTCTTGTCCTCGGAGCCAGAAGCTAATTGCTGACTATCAGGCGAGAAGGCCATCGACCAGACTGAACTAGAATGGCCTTCCAGTGTATGCCTCAGATGACCCGTGATTGGATCCCAGATCTTGATAGTCTTGTCCAAGGAGCCAGAGGCTAGTTGCTGACTATCAGGCGAGAAGGCTACTGACCAGACTGAACTAAAATGACCTTCTAGTGTATATCTCAGATAGCCTGTGGTGGGATCCCAGATCTTGATAGTCTTGTCAAAGGAGCCAGAGGCTAGTTGTTGACTATCAGGTGAGAAGGCCACCGACCAGACTGAACTGGAATAGCCTTCCAGTGTATGTCTCAGATAGCCCGTGGTGGGATCCCAGATCTTGATAGTTTTGTCATCAGAGCCAGAGGCTAGTTGCTGACCATCAGGCGAGAAGGCTACTGACCAAACTCTACTAAAATGACCTTCCAGTGTACGTCTCAGATGGCTCGTGGCAGGATCCCAGATCTTGATGGTCTTGTCATCGGAGCCAGAGGCTAGTTGCTGACCATCAGGCGAGAAGGCCACTGACTCAACTTTACTAGAATGGTCTTCCAGTGTATGCCTCAAATAGCCCGTGGCAGGATCCCAGATCTTAATAGTGTTTTCATCGGAGCCAGAGGCCAGTTGCTGACTATCAGGCGAGAAGGCCACTGACTCGACTAAACTGAAATGGCCTTCCAGTGTACGCCTCAGATGGCCCGTGGTGGGATCCCAAATCTTGATGGTCTTGTCGAAGGAGCCAGAGGCCAGTTGCTGACCATCAGGCGAGAAGGCCACTGACCTGACTGAACTGGAATGGTCTTCCAGTGTATGCCTCAGATGGCCCGTGGTTGGATCCCAGATCTTGATAGTCTTGTCATCGGAGCCAGAGGCTAGTTGCTGACCATCAGGCGAGAAGGCCACTGACTCAACTCTACTAGAATGGTCTTCCAGTGCATGCCTCAGATAGCCCGTGGTAAGATCCCAGGTCTTGATGGTCTTGTCCAAGGAGCCAGAGGCTAGTTGCTGACTATCAGGCGAGAAGGCTACTGACCAGACTCTACTAGAATAGCCTTCTAGTGTATATCTCAGATGGCCTGTGATAGGATTCCAGATCTTAATGGTATTGTCAAAGGAGCCAGAGGCTAGTTGCTGACCATCGGGCGAGAAGGCCACTGACCAGACTAAATTGGAATGACCTTCCAGTGTATGCCTTAGATAGCCCGTGGCGGGATTCCAGATTTTGATGGTCTTGTCATTAGAGCCAGAGGCCAGTTGCTGATTATCAGGCGAGAAGGCCACTGACTTGACTGAACTGGAATGGCCTTCCAGTGTATGCCTCAGATGGCCCGTGGCGGGATCCCAGATCTTGATAGTCTTGTCATCGGAGCCAGAGGCCAGTTGCTGACCATCGGGCGAGAAGGTCACCGACCGGACTATCCTGGAATGGCCTTCTAATGTCCGTAACTCTGGGCTCCATGTATCCTCTACTCTTGGGCATCTGTATATCCAAGCCGGAATATCATTTGCAAACGTTTGTCTGATAATTGTCATTTTTGGTGCGAATATTAGGCCAGACACATAGAGCTGAAGAGGAGCAACATCTACCATCTGGCTATTCTTTAGAATGAACCGCTCCGCATCACATAGAAATTTGTTTATCTCAGAATCTTTCCTGCCCTATAAATATTAGTACACATCATTCCTATTGAAGCTAGTAATGACTTACTTGCATTGCTAACTTTAAAGTATTGATACTTTGCAGAGCCTCTGAAATAGCGTCTAATAAACTCATTACTTCCACCCAATGAAGAAAATGGTCATTTAGAAACGCCAAGATCTTATCACTCCAGCTAATTGCATCCCTACTATGGGTTAAATGGTGGGTCCAATACCGACATGAATACTGCAGCTCTGGTGGCAACCGGTCGCTTATATGTTGGCGGCTGATTGTCATGCGCACTGTTCCATAGCTTGGGAGATTGCATATATTCTTTTTCAAGTTCTGATTCATCACATGAAGGCAACGGGCTGTTAGATCTTGGTTTATTTCCTTCTCATCAATCCATAATGGTGTATTTTCACAAGTGTCAGCATTAACAAGGAAGTCACGTAGTGACAGATGAAAAGCCCTAATTGGTAACATCTTGTTATGCGGTATGTCAAGAACCGAATGAAGCGAGTTCAATCTGGTATCAAGAAAGCTTTCTGGGCGCCCAAGGAAATTTGCAAGTGCATGGAGCGAGAGTGGACTTTCAAGAAGAATGATTGTTCCAAGGACCATACGGTACTCTCTGATTAATTGTTCCCTCTTCCGTCCGTACTGTCCGACAAGAAGACGATCTAGTACTGGAAGGTATGTCCCATTTAGTTTTGATGTGTCATTTTGATGGTCGAGGATTTCTGAAAGACTGCCCTCTGGGTCCCATTGATAATCCAGAAGAATACGGCAGATAGTAGCGGCAAAGATGAATAGGGGAACAGACATTGTGATCAGCCTCTGTGTCTTGGTGGCTCCCGGCCAGTCCGGTTGAAGTGATCGCTCTTTCCGAATTTTCGCAAGCTTGTGTTCAAGGAACAGAGAGATATCACGTTTTATTATGGGACTAGGGATTTGATGAAGGATAAAGTCTTGGTGATCATCTCCGACTTCATGCTGAAAGCCTAGTCGTATTGGTAGTTCGGGTCGACTGGTCACAAAGACTCGCAATTGAACCAAGCGAGCTTGCTTCAATTGTGATAGTAACTGCAGTATAACTTGGATGTTACTGTCATTCTCACATTCGTCCACGGCATCAATAATAATCACCAAGACTCGGCCCGGAGTATTCGATTTCTTAAAGTTTAGCAGTGGCTGGAGAATTAATTTGTCGAACTGCTCTTTTAGAGGCTTGGCTGATATTCTGACGTCGTCGTTCAGTACATGCATAATCACAGGCTGGATTTCTGCAATTTGTGTGAATAGCTGCCTTGCGATTGTTGGAAAGAATCTTGTTGCATTACCACGGCCTCCTTCACCTCTCTTGAAGAAGAAGCTTGCCCCTAGCAAACCTCGTTTTTTGAACAACTTTGCCACAGTTCGTGATATTGTGGACTTGCCAGTCCCAGCAGAACCATTGAGCCAGAATATACATCTGCTTTGTGGTAAGACAGCCCACTCATCAATCTCGCGAAGAAGCTCCTCTCTGGTCCCAGGGAGACACCCTTCCTCATGTTGATCCATATATGTTCCGAATTCGGCTCCTTCGGCGACCGGTAATTCCTTGAGATTCAAACCTTGGGCCATGGACTTGATCTCCAAATCTGACCCACTGGCAACGTCGTAGATCTTATCAATATTATTAGAAACGACATTCAGTTGGTCTTGGATCTCTGTTGAATCAACAGACATTAGGCAAGAAGAAGTCATAATTGTGAGTATCTAGGACTAACCGCGTATAGCTTCAGTGGCTTTCCGCTCATGGCTCACCCGCTGAGGGACAATTTGATGCAACAGGTCTTTTGCATATGCAGCAGCCATCATTGCCGCGTATCCTTGCCATTCCTTGTTTTTATGGGAGTCGGCATAGTCACAAACACCACGAATGACTAAACAGGGGAAATGGTTCATCAGTCCCGCGGCTTCCATTTCGAAACATAGAACATCTTGCTCTTCTGCGAGCTTGTCCCGAAACATTGCATTTCTCATCAATCTATTCCCAGATGCAATCAAACCATAATGGATGGCAGGGTTATCCTCATCCTCGGTTCGCTGTAGTCGAAGGATTAATTTCCACTCATCACAGATCTCAGCGCAGTTCGAGGGCAAGTCTTGGTGGGTGTATTGGCTGTCATAAAGCCGGTCGCTTTCAAGGGGAGGTGGTGCGTATTTTCGTCTGAGTCTTTTGTTCCCTTCAAGCACGCTTTGAATGCTTTCCTTCAACCGGTGGCCCTCCTCCTCATATTGTGTTCGGAGCCCAGCTACAGCCGTTCGCAAGATGGGTGGTGGTTGATTCAAGAACCCCGTTTGATGAAACTCGTAGCCTTGGATCTCCTTGCCAAAGTCATATTGGAGTAAGCCACTATGGCCGCTCCGAGATGAGCTCACAACGATATCACCAAGACGGATGTCCTGCTTGGTTGGTGCACCCCCACCGATCCCCACCATGAGCCCGAATCGGATGTTTGGAAAGCTGTGCAACATATCCCTCGCAACACAGGCTGCCGATGATGTCCCGTACTCTCCATCTGGAAGAACTGCGATAATGACCTGGTGACCCCTGATTTCTCCCAGAGTGTAATGATTATTATCATTTGGCGAGAGTTCTTCCGGTGGGTCATGTCTTTTCTCAAGAAAAGCCCGGGCAGCGAGATATTCTGTCTGCAACGCACATATCCAACCAACAGTATATTGATCTGTGTTTGACATGATCGGGATGTAAGGAACGTGTTTAGCGGCTAGGCTTTTGTATGAGTGTTGCTATGTCTATTGTTATTTGTCTGAAGGGAAAGTAAATGGTGATAGGAAAGTGAAACGTGAAGTGGGGTAACACTGTACCTGTGGCTGTGACGGCGCTTATTTTTGGCTTGCAAGACCCTTATTCCTGTATAAACTATTCATATCTCCATGCCAGAGGTATATTATGTAATATTATGAAATGTGCCTACGTTAGTTATTGTTCACAGACGGGATTAATATGACATGAAAGGCATAAAACGTATAAAACCACGTGACATGAGTGAAGTCTGGGAGCTGGAAAATTCCACGAGATCCAAGCTGCCCACCCAGGCAGTCTTTTGTTCGCCTCCAGTTCCAGGCAGACATTCAGACTCCCAGACTCTAACTGTGCCATGGCTCCGAGATTATCTCTCTTACAGGTCGAAATCGCTCGTGACATGATTCTCAGTAAAGAACCACCAACAAACGCCGATATTGCAAGGGTCGCTCAATGCAGTGAACGCTCAGTCACCAATATCCGTCGAAACCTCAAACTGTTTGGGACACCTCGGGCCCTGGAAAACCATGTTGGCTGATAAAAAAGCGTTACGCCTCACATGCTCCAAGTTCTTTGTGATCATCTCTATAACGATCCCGAACTATATCTTGACGAGATGGCCGTATTTCTGTGGAATGAATTTGACGTCTGGGTCACAACCTCGAACATCAGGAGGGCACTCATCAGTGGTGGTTGGCCAAAAAAGATCATCCGGCAGAAAGCAAAAGAGCGTAATGCAAACCTGCGAGATGTCTATCTTCATAATCTCTCAGACTTTCAGTCATACCATTTGGTCTTTGTCGATGAATCTGGCTGTGATAAGCGGGTAGGATCTCGAAGAACAGGTTGGTCTCCATTAGGCGTGACTCCGACACAGATCTCTCGATTTCATCAGAGCCAGCGATATCAGATATTACCTGCCTATACTCAGGATGGTATAATTCTCTTCGACGTCTTCCAAGGCTCAACTGATGCCGGAGTTTTTGAGGAGTTTATAAGACGACTTCTTCAGCATTTTGGTAGGTGGCCAGAGCCGAAGTCTGTGCTGGTTATGGATAACGCATCTTTTCATCACTCTGGACGAATCAAGCAATTGTGCCGTGACGCAGGAGTTAAACTAGTATATCTACCTCCATACTCTCCTGATCTGAACCCCATTAAAGAGTTTTTTTGCGGAGTTAAAGGCCTATATTAGGCGAAATTGGGGGTCGCATCAGGAAGTACCTGAACAAGGATTTCGCAGATTCCTGGCAAATTGTATCGAAGCCGTGGGTGGGAAGCAACAAAGCGCCAGAGGTCAGTTTCGAAATCCATGCATCATGGTCACGGAAGAATGCTAGACTATAGCCACAGTAAGATTCGATTGGCCCAAGGCATTTTTGACAGATTTCAACCGTGGATGCGATGATACACCAGTGGAACAGGTGGGGTCAACCGAAGTCAGCGCACTTTCTGACCGCAGATACTATGTTGGCTTTCGTCTTTCATATTTACTAAATTCGTATTATTGTAGCATCCAAAACGAAAAGTTCAATCACAAATTATCTACGAAACACAGAAAGAGACCTCATAACACATATCATTCAGCTTCATCACGAGAGCTTATCTAGACTAAAAATATTCACGAACATTGCTCGCATGCTTCGACCCATTCTCTAATGTCACTCACAAAGCGCTGTGCAATACCCACGACAACACCGTTTTGAGTGAAAAACTTGATGAAAAATGCCGGATCTTGTTCCCTGTCGACTTGCTCAGGGTCATATCCGTTAGTGATTGCCACATCGCACGCTTTCCGGAAGTTGGCCTTAAGATTTTCATCGGTCACGTTGGACTCCTGCCATTCAGAATAGGCCCTGACTGCCACGTCCCGTGGTCCGGATATCTTCAGTCTGTCCCTGGCTGGCAGCGGCAGTGATGTTGGCACATTAGACAAATTAGCTGAGACGGAGGGCTGAGAAGACGGTGTAGGCAACAAATTTATGTTGATAGGATTCATATTTGGACTTGACAAAACGGAACCCTTTTGAGCCCGACTGCGAAGCTTTTGCTGCTCTTTAGCATAGAGCTGTTCACGAATTCGATTAGGAACATCCCCACGATCTTCGAGGACACCATGCTCATCTCGGACGTATTGAACCAGTTCAGTCAAATGATGGCTCTGAAGGCCATAATGCTTCTTGCCCACGGGATCCTGCCAGCACCATTTGCCCAGGTTACACGGCTTCCCAGGACAACGCATTAGCCTGTAGACGTGATCCCAAACTGGAACCTGTTCTGAACTATTTTCAGCATTAATCTGAGCATTCTTATCAGCGAGCATTCTTTGGGTGACAGATCTTGTGCCCCTCTTATCGATCCTTGACGCGGGGGTGTAATCCTCATCCACATATTTGAAGGAGACACCTAGGGTAAGCTTCTTGCCGATGCGGAACAGATTGCTCCATCCGAGGAGCTGCGACTCCACGGTTGACCATTCAATGTTGGTCTTCTCGAACCATTTATTCAGATCACGCTGGAATCGGTCGTTTACGGACACCACCACGGCTGAGTCTTCCGATCTGACTCGTCTGCTAGTTAAACCGAAACCGAAAACGAAAAAAGCTGTATCTCCTCTATAGTCAGATACAAGAAATTTCCATTTCCTAGAAGATTCTGGCCGTTCTTTGATCGTTGATCGAGTGGCGATAAGGGAGTGGGGAACCCGCGGCCGGAACCAATTCCGCCCAGCGTAACCTCACGTTTTCCTTTGTTCTATCCGTCTTTTCCCCCTCCTCCGCTTTTCTTTCTTATTTCTCTCCTATATACAAAATGGATCGCGAACAGTTTAGAGCGGCTGCCCATGCCGCAGTCGACCAGAGTCAGTCACCTCTCCCAGCCCTCCCCAAATGGAGCTAATCGACCAGTCGCCGACTACTTTGACAGCCTTCCCAACCAGCGCGTCGTCCCCACCGTCGAACCCGGGTACCTGCGTCCGCTCATCCCCAATCACCCCCCCACCGACCCCGAGGCCTGGTCGCAGATTCAGGATGATATCGAGACGAAGATCAAGCCGGGCCTGACCCATTGGCAGTCTCCGAACTTCATGGCGTTCTTCCCCGCCCATGTCACCTACCCCAGCATCCTGGGCGAGATGTACTCCGCCGCGTTTACCGCCCCCGCCTTTAACTGGATCTGCTCCCCGGCCTGCACCGAGCTGGAGACCATTGTCATGGACTGGGTCGCGCAGGCCCTGCATCTGCCGCCCTGCTTCCTCAGCACCTCGGCGAACCACGGTGGCGGGGTCATCCAGGTGAGCGCCAGCGACGCCATCGCGACCGTCATGATCGCCGCGCGGGAGCGTCGCGTGCGCGAGCAGGCCCGCGAGGAGGGCCTGCAGGAGGGCACCCTCGAGTACGAAGATCGCGTGATGGAGCTGCGACCGCGTCTGGTCGCCCTGGCCAGCAACCAGGCCCACAGTAGTACGGCCAAGGGCGCCCTGCTGGCGGGCACGCGCTACCGCAGCGTGGCGGCCCGTCTGGAGGATAACATGGAGATGACAGGCGAGCGCCTCCGAACCGTGCTGGAGCAGTGCGACCGCGAGGGTCTCACGCCGTACTACATCACCCTGAGCATGGGCACCACTAATTCGTGCGCCCTCGACCGGTACGCCGAGATCAAGGCCGTCCTGCGGGAGAAGCCGGCTTGGCAGCGCATCTGGGTGCATATCGATGCCGCCTACGCGGGAGCCGCCCTCGTGGCGGACGAGTACCAGCCCATCGCGCAGGAGTTTGCCGAGGGAGTGGACAGCTTCAATTTTAATATGCACAAGTGGCTGCTGGTCAATTTTGACGCGAGGTAATCCTCCCTTCATGTTTATTGAGCCATCTTCCAAATGTTAAACTACTATAGCTGCCTCTTCGTGCGCAACCGCCACGACCTCACCGACGCGCTCGATATCACGCCCGCCTACCTGCGCAACCCCTACTCCGAGTCCGGGGCGGTGATCGACTACCGCAACTGGTCGATCTCGCTGGGACGACGGTTCCGCGCGCTGAAGATCTGGTTCGTGATGCGGACCTACGGACTGAACGGGATGAAGGACTTCATCCGACGCACGGTGCGCATCGGCGATGGGTTCGCCGACCTGGTGCGCAGCCGGCCGGACATCTTCGAGATTGTCACGACGCCTGCGTTCTGTCTGACCGTGTTTCGGATGAAGGCCGGAACTCAATCGGATCAGGCGGCCGCGCAGGACGGGTCAGTCCAGCCGGACGAGGCGAGCAACGCGCTCACAAAGACGGTCTACGAATTGGTCAATGCGCGCGGGGAGATCTTCATCACGTCGACTGTGATGGCGGGGGTGTATGCCATCCGCGTGGTCAGCGCGAATGAGCGCACCGACGAGAAGTATCTGCGTCGGGCGTTTGACATATTAGTTAGCACTTATGAAGAGGTGCGGCAGAAGTAGATGGCCAATGGCGCGTACGCTGGCGGTAGATTCACATATAACTGTTTCCATATTAGAGACGTACAGTGTCCTCTGTAGCTCAGTTCATGGCGACATCACCTCTTCCCGATGAGAGTATGATTACTAGAAGTACATCCCAGACCCCAGGAGCACATCCTACAACTAATAGCTCACCTATGGATGATAAAGAATCGTATTACCATATTACCAGGTCTTTTCACCCCGCCTGACGATGTACCGGATTAGACACTGCACTATTTCTATCGCCTGTTTACCATATTAGTCTATTTATTAGCCAGTGTATTCCCCAGTTCCGCCGCCCGGTTGGTCGCCGCCTTAACCGCCTTGTCCACGATCTCCTGGAAGCCCTCGGCTGCGAAGGTCTGCAGAGCCGCATGCGTCGTGCCGTTCGGACTGGTGACGTTCTGGCGCAGCTTGGTCGGGGTCTCAGACGACTCGACGAGCATCTTGCCCGCCCCGAGACACGTCTGAGCGGCCAGCCGGGTGGCCTGCTCCGAGGAGAGACCCAAGGCAGTCGCGCTGGTCACGAGATGCTCAACCATTGCGAAGAAGTAGGCCGGACCGGATCCTAACCCGCCATCATGATCAGCACGCTCTCACCGTTCCATGATCCCACCCCCCGCTCCACGTCCAGGTCGTTGTTCACTCACCTGATAACCCAGTCACCACGTCCAGCAACTCCTCCCGGTCCACCCACTCGGTCGCCTGGCTCACGCTCGCTAACAAGTCATTCACCAGGGCCTTCTCCTCCGCCACGACATCCGCACTGGCAAAGACGCCGGACGCGCCCTGACCCAGCAGCGCGGGCGTGTTGGGCATGACACGCACGGTGTGCGCCGTGCGGCCATCCTGTGTCCGCAGCCACCCCTGCAAGCTCTGCAGGGTGATCCCAGCGGCAATGCTCACCACGACGGGAAGCGTATCGCGGGAGGCCCAGGCGGCGGCGAGCTCCTCACAGACGGCCTGGGCGACCTGGGGCTTGACAGCGATGATGACCAGGTCCGCCTGGCCACCGGCTTCGACGTTGGAGGTGGTCGCCTGGACGCCCAGGGCGGCCATCTTGTCACGATTCACGTCCCAGGGTTCGGCAACCCAGATGTTGTTCTTGGGGACGCCTTGGGTGACGAGGCCGCTGATGATGGCGGACGCCATGTTGCCGCCGCCGATGAAGGCGAGCTTGCTCTGGTGGAGGGCCATTCTATGGAATCAGAAAAAAGGACCGGGTCGAAGAGGAAATGGAAGAAAAGAGCGAGTGAGGGAATTCAACTAAATGTGTTTCTGCCCCTCCTTTCGCTCGTTTCCCCGCCGCGTGTGGGATGACGTTCCTTTAGTGTTGCGCTTTTCGGTGTTTGACATGTTTGTATCGCGGGGCCCGGAGGGATGTGGCCGCAATCATCCCCATCGCGCCGGATGTCCCGATGATCGTGGGATCAATCGGTATGAGTTTTTTGGTCAGGACTAGGTTTCTCGCTGTAGCCTTTCGTTGCGAGGCATGGAATGAATGGACGTCTCGTACTACCCTTCCGTAACCAATGGCTGTGTCGATCTGGTGGCGGAGCTGCCTCAGGCTACGAATGCTCACTACGCTGGAACTGCAAGCCCACACAGGACAAGATGGACCCGTTGATTTGTCTATTCAGAAAGTCTATATTCCATGGGGGGATTTCTCCGTTCCCAATCAAATCAACGCAGACGCTGCACCACCTTGAGCAGATCCGCCGTCACACCCATCGCGGTCACATCGCCGCCAGCGCCAGCGCCCTGGACAATCAGCGGGTTAGACCCGTACCGCTGGGTGTAGAAGCTGATGATGTTGTCGCTGCCCTTGAGGCCGGCGATGGCACTGTCCTGCGGGAACTGCTGCAGGCCAACGCGGACCTGCTGGGTCGCCACATCGATGCTGCCCACGTACCGCACTACCTTGCCCTGCTGCGCGGCCTCGTCCTTGATGGCGGCCATCTGGCTGTCAAACTCGGGCAACCGGGCCATGAACTGCGTGATCCCGTCCGCGGTGGATGGGAGGTCGGCCAGCTCGGCCGGAATCAACGACTCGATGGGGAAGGCGTCGGGGGCGGCCACATCGAGGCCCGCAATGCGCGCCAGGATCGTCAGCTTGCGCGCCACATCCATGCCGTTCAGGTCATCGCGCGGGTCCGGCTCTGTGTAGCCCAGGTCCTTGGCCTGGGAGACCACCTGGCTCCATGGTGCCGCGGGGCTGGTGCTCGACACGGGAGCGAAGGTGTTGAAGAGGAAGGACAGGGTGCCGGAGAAGACGCCCTCGATGCGGGTGACCTGGTCGCCCGTCGCGACCAGATCGCGGAGCGTCGAGATGACGGGCAGGCCGGCGCCGACGGTGCTCTCGTGGTAGACGAGGGCGTCGCCCTGCGCGGCGGCCGCGAAGATCTCCTTCCACAGGGCCAGGTCGGACGAGAAGCCCTTCTTATTCGGGGTGACGACCGAGACGCCCTGGCGAAGGAAGGTGGGGTAGGCACTCGCCAGCGCGGGGTCGCTGGTGTTGTCGACCAATACAGCGCGGCCGGGCGCCGCGGCGAGATACGAGGCCATCTCCGCGACCGACAAGGCCCCTGACTGGGTCACGCCGGCCGACTCGGTCGCGGCCTTCCAGTCCGCGGGGAGGGCGGGGGTGTAAGCGGGGGCGGGCGCCCGCAGGGTCTGGGAGGAACGGGCGAGGAGAACGAGCTGGGGCGCGTTCGGCAGGCGGGCCAGTTGCTGCAGGAAGGCGGATCCGACACCGCCGACACCTAGAATGCGTCTCGTATCAGTGGTTACCGGCCGTGACGCTTGCCGCGAGGACGGGATGCGTACCGACTACACCGAGGTAGATAGGGGATGCCATGTTGAATTCACTGAGCGGAAGTCAATTGGGGAATGGGACGGCAAATTCGACAGAGACGATTGAGTGGGAGAGGATTGAGCACCAGGAATGCGAGGGAAGAGAAAGCGAGAATACAATTCCTCGCACGGATGGGCTGAAGGGGAAGATCGAGTTCCGATGACGGCGGAGAGCGATCACGTGAGGGCGGGGCAATCATTGTGCCGCCGGGTGACTCATCGGTGCATAACGAGGATACAAACATGTCAAACAACCGAATTCACAACGGCTCAACGATCTCTCGCAGGGATGGATGCCTTCAACCACCATGCCAACCACCACGCCAACCCTGGCAGCCCCGGTCTCATGTCCCTGCGGCTCCCGTATCACCGGTCCGACCACCCCTCCACGTTGGTCGCGCGCCTCAACCACACGGCCTCGTCGCACTCCCTGGTTCTTATCGACGTCCGCAGGGGTCCTCCAGTTATTTGCGAAAGCAGTGTCACCCCCTAGGATTGATACTTTGTTTTCGATACCATACGCCAAGAAGGCGCTTAACCCCTTTGTCAGCGCCCGCGAATATCTAATTTAAGATAGCGTATCGTTTGGCAATAAAATCACATGATGAAGAATGTCGTAATATAACATGTTTTATCTGTACATAAATATACTAGCCCCCGAACTACATTTGCATTCAGTGCGGTTCGGTGCGGATTCTAGGCTGGCAGGAACCAACTCGTTGCGGGTTCGGTGCGGTCCCACAATCCGAAGCTTGGCAGTTCTAGGCTATGAACCTTGCTAGGCAACTTTACAAGAGCTTTTCCTCGCAGAAATGACATATGTCGCGTGTTCATCTACCTTAAAAGAAATTACAATTCGAGGCGCCTACATGAAAGCTCAACGGAAATACACTATACTGTGTGCAATACAGTTTGCTCCATCTCGCAGATTGTCAGCTGAGTCGATGAAGTTCGGTAGGAGTGGGTTTTTGATGGGGCTGACTAAAGTGCGGGGTAAATCCGTGGATCAAACGTAATCCACCAGAGTCGTCCAGCTATCTGTCAGACGAAATCTAATCGAGTATCATTGACATTCATGCTATTGTACCTTTTGAAAACAATAAACAAAAATGGGTCTATCACACGATGACTATATGATTGCCTGGATCTGCGCCTTGCCACTTGAAATGGCTGCCGCAAAGGTCATGCTGGATGAGACCCACCCTCCCCTCCCTCAACCAAGGTCCGACGAAAACGCCTATACTCTTGGAAGTATCAGCGGCCATCATATCGTGGTAGCTTGTCTACCGTCCGGGGTTTATGGGATCACATCTGCAGCGGTCGTGCTCGCTAATATGCGGCCAACGTTTCCTTCTCTTCGATTTGGGCTGATGGTGGGCATCGGAGGCGGCGTGCCCAGCACAACCAACGATATTCGCCTCGGCGATGTTGTTGTCAGTGTGCCGACTGCAAACTCTGGGGGTGTGATTCAGTATGATTTTGGCAAAGCTCTTCACGACGGATACTTCCAACATACTGGCTCACTCAACAGACCTTCTCAAGTTCTGTTGACCGCAGTCTCTCAAATACGCAGCAATGAAATGATCGGGAAAAGACTTGCGGCACGGTTCTTATCCGATGTACTACAGGCGCAGGGACACGTGAAAGAGAATTTTGCACGGCCGGATAAGGACTGGCTATTTATATCAGACTATAAACACCATAGTGATCGCCCTGATTGTTCTATGTGTGACCACAGTCAATTAATGGATCGTGACAGGCGAGTTCATGAAGGACCAGTTACTCACTATGGTCTGATTGCTTCCGGGAATCAGGTTATGAAGGATGGCAAGAAACGAGACTCCCTCGCTCAATCAACGGATATTCTCTGCTTTGAAATGGAAGCTGCCGGACTTGTGGACCAGCTTCCGTGCCTGGTGGTTCGAGGAATTTGTGATTACTGTGACTCTCACAAACATAAAGAGTGGCAAGGATATGCGGCTCTCGCCGCTGCTGCATATGTTAAAGAACTTCTTTCCGTCGTGTCTTTGGCAGCTACCCAGTCAGTCATGAGTAAGTGCATCCGCGGAGTCAATTTTGCAAACTGTTTTTATCCGTGTATTGACAATGCCGTAGAACCTAAATATCAGGTTCCACTGGATCTCACGTCAGTACCTGCAATTGAAGAATTCATTGGACGACATGAAGATCTTGAACACCTGTGGCACTATCTACAGCCAGCAGGCTCAACATCGCAGAAGGTCGCTATCCTCCATGGTCTTGGTGGAATTGGGAAAACACAACTTGCAATTCAATTTGCACGTAAGCACAAACATGACTTTACAGCAATTTTTTGGCTAGCTGGGAAGGATCGATCTACCCTGGTGCGGTCCTTAAGTTCTTGCCTTCCACGCATACAAACGCATGCCGTGGCAAATGAAGCCGCTACAGAGGAAGAAGCAGAACAGCGGGCTAGCCAAGTTTTAAAGTGGCTAGCAGTACCAGAAAATCAGAATTGGTTATTGATCTTTGATAATATTGATCAGTACACGCCCCTACAGACCAGCAATAATCATGGATACGATATCAAAGATTTCTTCCCAAAGGCTGATCATGGGTCTATTCTTATTACTTCTCGGCTCCAGAGGTTGATGGAGCTTGGAAAATCATTTCCCATCGAAAGACTCACACCCAAGGATGCTAGCAATCTCTTCTTACAAAATTGTGGACGTTCTTTGTCCGAGATTGTGGATACAGGGTTAGACCAAGGTACTTATTTATCAGACCAATTTCAAACGGTCTACTAATGAATTAAGATCTTGCTAGACTCATGACCCAGCTTGATGGTTTACCACTGGCAATTGCCATTGCTGGCGCTTTTATGCGCGAAACTGGCACAGGCATCAGGGAGTACCTAGAGGATTATCAAGAATCATGGTCCGAATTGCAGGCTCAATCGACCCCCACACGTCATTATCACCAAGGTAATATCCTTCAAACATGGGCTGTCTCCTATCAAGAAATTCAGAAACGAGATCCAACTGCTGCAGTTCTGCTTCTCTTTCTGTCTTTTTTTGATAACCAAGACATCTGGTATGAGTTGATTGCGTGTGGCTGTCATTGTGCCAATGTGCCTGATTGGTTCGAAACGGCGGTTGGGACAAAGTTCGACTTTAAGGCACGGATCAAGACTCTCATTGCATTTTCCCTTATTGAAACCAAGCCACAAGGAGGAAGCTATAGGTTGCATCCAGTAGTTCAGGACTGGTGCATCCACGTTGCTGCGACGGAGAACCATATCTCTCGGTTAAGGGAATTGGCGCTAGTTTGCATTGGATATATGGTCCCGGATACTGATAAGAGAGATTATGCGAGAGTTCAGCGGCGCCTGCTCCCACATGCAAATTACCTGTTTCAAAAACACGTGACTTACGAAGCCAACAATACCGCAGTTTGTGGCGCTTTCCGTTGTCTAGGAAATCTCTACTCTAATCAAGGCAAGCTTAAGGAGGCAGAGGTGATGTACCAGCGTGCACTGGCAGGCTATGAACAGACTCTTGGTCCTGATCATACATCCACTTTACTCACTGTCAATAATCTTGGTCTTCTCTACTCTGATCAAGGCAAGCTAAAGGAGGCAGAGATGATGTACCAGCGTGCACTGGCAGGCTGTGAACAGGCACTTGGTCCTGATCATACATCCACTCTACACACTGTGCATAATCTTGGGAATCTCCACCAACATCAAGGCAAGCTAAATGAGGCAGAGATAATGTACCAGCGTGCACTGGCAGGCTATGAACAGGCGCTTGGTCCTGATCATACATCTACTCTACGCACTGTGCATAATCTTGG